TGCTGCTGCGTTTGAAGCATCCATTCTACACTCCTGTCAAATTTTAGAGAGTGAGAGAATTATTCACTTCTGCTTCTTTAAATAAAAAAAAAAAAACACAGCCTTGAAATTTGTGAGGCTTAAGGCAACTCATCAGGTTAGATCAGTGCAATGTGGATGTGTAACCTTTCCACTGCAGTTGAACCTGCACATACAAGTGTTATGAAAGGTCCCTGTGGCACTCTGCTCTTCTGACATGGATTTGAAGACTTGCCACTTTATTAGCTGCTAAGCCCCCAATACTTGTTCTATATAGTGGAGGCCTACGTTATGAGCTGGGATCTCATTGTCTTGCGTTATTAGAGGAAGAGTCTGCAGCACTCTCTCGTGCCCCCCCGAGAGGATAGCCCTGACTGTTTGAAGGGAAGCTACAAGTGCAATTTAACCCATCCTATTTACAATATGATCTGTTACAAGGACATCATCGCTGCAAGGATTCACATTTAATATATCCCCACAATGTGATTCCTTTTTGTTCTCATTGATTTGAGGGAAAACTCCAGCCTTTAAAAAAAAAAGGAACATCTCAAACCCATAAAGAGCACGCTTCTTAACTTTACTCACAGCTCCAATTCAGAGTTTTCATCCTATATACTGTGATACTATTGCATGAACAACAGAGGAATTTCTTTGTGCTTAAAGGTCAAAGCAGCTAATTAATAAATGTGAGTGGATGTGTCCTGATGATATCAACATCAGCTCGGGAAAACATGCACTTTGTGATCATCACTTGTGTCAGCAACACGCACTTATCCTCCAAAATGGAAATAATCTGCTGGCTTTGAATAATAAGTGCCATAGTGCCATCTAGTGCACGGATTTGCACACTGAAAAATGACAGTCCCTGTGTGTCTAATATACATCACACATACATATGTAGAAAGAGACCAAAGTGGTACGGCTGGTAAAGAAATACTACAATATAGACGGAGGGTACTGTTTGTTCTGGTGGTCGGTGTGCTCAAGTGTGGGGTTTTACTACACCGAATGACCGCACCGAAAATTTCCACTCATGAGGGAAATAAACACGGAGACAAAGGTTTGTCTTCCAAGCCAGGTCTTTGACAAGCCTCAGTTGTGGAAAAAAAAAAAGCCGCAAGGATAATCTCCTTCAGACAATGAGACAATGTTGAAGGCTGTGCATGCAAATTATTACTCTGCCATCTAAATTACAAAGAAAACACACAGACCCCAAGTCATCAGGCCTCATAGCTCACTCATCAGGGCCTCCTGGCTGTGAGGTTGCCAGAGGATGCTATAGAAACAACAGAACAGAAATAATAAGAAAAAGAAGAAAAAAAAAATAACACACATGAGCCAAAACAAGAGTGTTGAATAATTGATTGTGTTTGTCTTTGCTGTTTGTGTGTGTGTGTGTGTGTGTGTGTGTGTGTGTGTTGTGTGTGTGTGAGGGAGAGAGTTAAGACTGAGGGTCTGGACAGAGCTTATGCCCCTGAGCAGAGCAGACACATCCACTGGCCAATGGTTTGTGTTAAAAACTGTCTGATGGGGGGAAGGGTATGTTTGTGTGTGTGGGGTGAAAGCACACATGTATGGGTATTTAAGTGTGTGCCCCTGTGTGTAAATTCAAACTGAAATAGACGCGTTTGATTCCCACAAAAGAGGCATAAACATGATGAGCTCATGTTAAAATCGGCACTGTTTTTGTATTCAGTTACCTGGGAATAACACGAAGTAAAGATTTCCAGGATAACAAATGTGTGTTGTTAAACGGCTCAGGAATAGGTAAGGGTGTAAGATGTTAAAAAGTCAATATACCTTCATTTTGTCTGTGCTGGTAATGAGCCATATTTTCTGGGGAAAATGGCTGCTTCTCCGGAGGCACCATGTCTACTGAATGTGGCCCTGATCCTGGATAAAACAGAAGGCTCACCAATCAATCTCTCCAGGTTGCCCACAGCCAGAGAAAGCAGCTGCACCACATGTTTGCCTTGCGCGATAGCGACAAGTTAACATACGGGCAGCACAGTAACCATCCACAAGCAGCCTCTAGCTGTCTTATAATGAATTCCCACAGGGATGGGGAACTATCAGAGTCAGTGGTGTTACTGGAGGCTCGGAATAAAGTCAACACCTCTCCTTATACCTGATGAAGCTACGGCACGGCAGCACACACACACACTTGAACACACACACAGTCACAGCCACAGCAATGGACTGGTAAAAAAGTGAAAAATGCAATGTACACAGCAATTAAGGCATGCGGTTTTATTAAATCCCAAATTGGGCTTGAGTCAAGTATTTTCTCCTCTACACTGTGATGCTAAATCCAAACTATTAAGTTGTTATAGTCGTCTACTAATAAAGGAAGAATAACACAGCAATTCATGGTAAAAGACATTATTGCATATGACTGGAAACTCTATCTTTTTTGAGAATGTCTTCCAATTAAAGAAAACATCAGTGTTGTATGTGTTGGATACTATCTGTACAAACACTTTTTGATGCTTTCAGATGAAGGAGTCTATGTTCTCACTGTATCCAATAATACTATATGATGGTTCCATTCAGTCAAGTGTAAATCTAAAACTACAAAACTTTTTTTTTTGTGGTTTTCAGAGTCACATATGGCCCCTCATGTGGAATTCAAGGGTGTTTTAGTGGCTCAAGCGCTTCTTACAGGAAAGTAATGATGGTTTCACTTAACACTAAACTCAACTGCATCAATACCTACTAATGGTAAACAAGTTGGTTTTAAAGCAGTGATAATGCTGTTCATAGATCTCATTCTGCAAGAAATTACAGTTTTCAGCATTAAATCTGAAAATGTATGATTTAAAACAACATGAAAAATCAATATGTCTCATGAAATTGTATAATTCCATATTCCTCTGTTGAATTTCCAAGTATATCTTTATTTTTATGAGCAGTCTTGGTCTATTTGACACAGCAGGTACAAGTCAGTCCACCTTTATATATGAAGTCTTTGCGTGTTTGTATTGTATTCGTGTGTGTGCTTGTGTGTGTATTGTATACTTCTAACCTCTAGGCCCCTGCTCTGGCGCTCCCACTGGGATGCTGTGTGAGTGATGAGAGGGATGTGGAGCTCAGGAGATACCAGAGAAAAGGTCTTTGTGAGATTCAGTCCAGGTCTTTCTAGGTGCATCTCTTTCTTCGCTGCCCCCCCACCCCCTGAACAATCTGCAGATTCAGCAAACACAAAGTTTGAAAACACAAGACACAATACCATCCCTTTGCACCCATAATCAAGTATTTAAGGTCAGTCTGGGGGTTAACACGGGTTATGTATTCTCTTCAAAAGAACCTTTAAGAAAGACTTAAAAATAGTTTTAACCATCCTATTCTGCCATTCAGCAAAATTAGTATGTTTGTATATATTTGAATAATGCGTTTCTATCAACTGAGGTAAAAGAACAAACCTCACATTATTCTATTTTATCCACTGAAGTGTGACCCAGATATTACACATTCTCGCACTTCATCAGCATTTGCCTTATTTGTATTAGTTTGAATTGTAACTTTTTTTTTTTTTTTTTTTTTTTGCACTATCAGCCCCTGTGGGCGATCCTCCTCCTCCCAACTCTTGACAACCCCAACTCTACTGAGAGAGCTGTTTGCAGAAAAATAAGCATAAAACTAAAAGCGTCTTCCAGCACTCTAACATCTATTTTTGCATGTTTGTCTCTCTACATGTAGTTTAGCTGATAAAAAAGAGACATATTTTAACAAGTGCTAAGCAAAATTTGAAAGAGCTAAAGTTGAAAAAGCTTTCAGTTCAGTATAAAATACATACCAGAAAAGTAAAAGAATGGAAAAAATCTGGATAGATAGATAGATCTATTCAAGAGGGCAAAAATATGGTGTAAACTTTTTGTAGTTACTCATTATATGTAATAGGAACGACTTCTACATGATTTTAAAGCCTATAAAATATCAAAAGTAATCAATCAATCAATCAAATTTTATTTATATAGCGCCAATTCACAACATTCATCATCCCAAGACATTTTCCAAAGAAAAAGAGCAGGTCTAGACCACGCTCATTGTTTGATGAATTATCAAGACCCAACCTAAGATGGGATTTCATCTAACATGAGTAACAGTGGCAAGGAAAACTTCCTTTTAACAGGCAGAAATCCTGAGCAGGACCAGACTCATTCTAGACAGCCACCGGTCTGGTCGAAATGCTCTTCCCAGCAACACACTCCTAAATCTTACAGGCCAAACATTCAAACTCTGAAACACAAATTCTCTTGAGAATTAAGTTATGAATTCATTAAATTAAATGAGTCTTTGATGAGTATTTCCAGCAGACCAAACCATGGCAATAGCTAAATAATGTCCATTTATAATCTGTCTCTTAGTGTCTCTAAATTAGGGACTAGTTAAGATGCAGTCTCAAATTGAAGATGCAAAGTGCTGCACAATAAAAATCACCTGGACTTCTACCTTTTAACCACTAGATGTCACTAAATGACCATACATTGCAAACCAAGGTGCTCGGCTGTGCTGGTGTCATGCAATTCAAAGTTGAGGCATTCTACAGATCTTACAATAACCAATCTAATTTTGAATAAGAACTTTAAATCTCAGCTTGTTTACATACACATTTTAGTTATATTGCAGCAGAAACTTTATTGATATCCCCTTTTTAAGAATCATATTTATTCAACTTCTCTAACCATTGCACAAGGAGTAAAAAATAGTTTACAAACATGTCTTGGATGCGAATATTATTTTCATCGGCTCTGGTTCTCTTGAACTTTAATTAAAGCTCCCACATCCTTTTAATGTGCAGGTCTACATTTTTACCGTCATGTCGCCAAAAAACATCGGACTTGGCTAAATGAGGGGATGTTAACGGGTAATGTACCTAAATAATGTTGATTTAGGAGATAAAAACACATTTAAAGCACATTGAATGGTGAGATGCTCCGGAGGATGGATGGAGCCAGGATGTGGCATGTGCGCATGACGTCATTTCTCCATGTACTGTGCGCCATTTTGGAAGGAAAAAAAAAATCACGGATAATTTCCGTGGTCTTGACAGATCTGGACCCGAGTCTTCACATTGATTGTGGATGCTATCTATTTCCCCGAGCAAGCCGCATTGGTTGATAAGCTATTGGAAGCTGTTGTACGGCTGGAGCTGCTACATGAAGCAATGGCGGGTGAGCGACTTTTTAAAGGGAGGGAAAGGACCCACCTCACTGAGTGTGTGTGACGGCCTGTTAGCGCTGGACAGGGCTAAGGGGGCTGGGTGTCATTTTATCGCTTATTAAAGGAATAAAGAAACTAACGCTGTGTTTTTGTCTGCAGGAGTTGCAGGAGGAAATGATTTCCAGTGGTGTTTCTCTCAAGTGAAAGGAGCGATAGATGAAGATGTTGCGGAAGGTATGTGGCTAACCTTAGCTTGACGGCTAGGCTACAGCTAGATGTTCTGATGCTGATGCTCTGGAGGCTTTGCAGGAGCTGCACGGTAGCGAGATGATTTGACAGGTCTTAATGTAAGGCAGCTGCTGGAGTTGGTTTAGGACTATTTGCGGGTATTCTCGCTTCTTTGTTTTAATAAAATGAGTGTTTGTTGCTAGCTAGCTGTGTGCTAAGTGGCGGCTATGCTATTAAAGGGGAGCGACCGTGTCCATGACGTCAATGTGCTGCGTCCATAAATTGTCAAGTGACATCATGCTTGTTTTCATTCATTCATAAAGTAGGGGAGAGTGGGGTAAGTTGAGACAAGGGGGTAAGTTGAGCCACCCCCTGTAGCTTGGAAATGGTCAAAGAAATTGATCATGTGACCAAATATTTAGGAGATGGGCATCAATTCATGGATTCTGTGAAGGTTAGGAGCACGTAGGTGAAGAGGTTAGACATTTATGTACAAAAAATAAAACATGTTTCATCCTTGAAAGTGAATTTAGTCTGTCATAAGTTTTATAAGAACTGTGTTCAGACCAGAAAAGATCATTTTAAATTTGGTTATTACATCGTTTGTGGTATCTATGAGCTTCATCATGAGGTGAACAACCTGACATAAAAGTCCTCCATTTTAGCTTAGAGGACTAATAAAGTCATAATAGTAGTTCTGGGGTAAGTTGAGCCATTTGGTCAGGGGTAAGTTGAGCCAGTGGGTAAACTTGGAAAGTAAAGGAGTAGTAGTAGTCGTTTATTCAGTCATGACAACAATATTGACATTCACACAAAATCACTAAACCAAGAATCATGTGTTGAATATTGAATGAAAAGGCATAAGCAGAAGCAGACTGCTTATAAAAGCCTATCCTGCCTAGTCTGATGAGAGGATCAGCGTTTCAGTTCAGATTGTTGAAATGTGTTACTTTTTCTTTTCAGAAATACAGCTGTGAATGTTCTGAATCACTTAAAGACATTCTCATGTTAAAATGGCTTTGTATAAAACAGCTTTTTAGCAGGTATATGCAATAATAATAAAAAGAAATATTGTACCAGTTGAATAGTTATGGAGAGTGGGGGGTTAGTACGGATACGGCTCAACTTACCCTGCTCCTATGGTCAACTTACCCCATACACACCACTTTTTTTTTGGCACACTATATTATCAAGACAGTTGTGTTTACACCATAGACTGTATATACTATGGACAACTTGGTTCCGCTTCCCGCCAGTATACGGATTTGAAGCCAAAAAGCTCTCGGTATTTCCATTTCTTTTTTCATTTCCTGAAACCAGCGTTGCGCAGTAGCATTGTACGCAGGGAGAGCCGCCGAGAGTCGCTGTGATGACGCTCGGCTCAAACAGTGTAACCACCGAGTGAGCTACGCAATCCCTGAACGCCAATAGGCCGAATCAGGTGTCAATCATAAAAAACATGAACCCTCTAATAACTTTTAAAAACGGAGCCGTACAGAAAAAAAGAGGACTTGAGTACAAACCAGTCTTACAGTAACTACATGGAGATAAAATTATATTCTGTGTAATAAATCTATAAAGTTTGTTCACAGCCCATTAGCTTTGCTGGCAGAGGCGGGATTTATGACCTATACTGCGCCCGTCAAAAGAGGGTGCTGTTCTCGGAGTGGCGTCACCCAGCGAGGAGGCAGACGCTGTCCATTCTAAATACAGTCTATGGTTTACACTCATTCTGTTGATACACTAGTTGAAGACAAAACTATGACTGCCTTGATGTTGTGATCCGAAATATCTTCATCTTAATCATCTTGCCCCACTCTCCCCTGAACTATTGATCTTCTGAGGGACATTATTTGAGTCGACAGCAGGATTTGCACGCTAGAGCTGAAGTTTGGTCTCATTTACTCTCATCTGTGTCAATTTCAGCCGACATAATCTCGACAGTTGAGTTCAACTATTCTGGTGAATTGCTTGCAACTGGAGATAAAGGAGGCAGAGTAGTGATTTTTCAGCATGAACAGGAGGTAAGAAACGGAGAGGAAAAACTGAACAGTATCTTCATGATGTGAGAAGTTACCTGCTCATCTCTGATGTGCACATAAAAGCCTGGGAGTAACTTGTACCACTTTCTGCTTTCAGTCTAAGAATCGTCCACACCTGCGCGGGGAGTACAACGTCTATAGCACTTTTCAGAGTCACGAGCCAGAATTTGACTATTTGAAAAGTTTAGAAATTGAGGAAAAAATTAATAAAATAAGATGGCTACCCCAACAAAATGCTGCTCACTTTCTACTTTCAACAAATGGTAAGACTTCATCATTTTGAACGCTTTGATTGTTTGTTGATTGTTCGGATATGAAGCTGACTACAGCCGTTCAACACGTCTCATTCTTACAAATGAACCCTTTGCCTTCATTTAGATAAAACTATCAAATTGTGGAAAATAAGTGAAAGAGATAAACGGGCAGAAGGTTACAACCTGAAAGATGAAGATGGAAGACTCAGAGACCCCTTTAGAATCACCTCTTTACGGGTATGTTAAAGTGAAAGACAATGATGGTTGTTGTTTTGGGGGCTTGTTTTGACTGTTCTTGTTATTTCATAGTGAATGTGCATCTGTATGTTTCAGGTACCAGTACTGATGCCAATGGATCTCATGGTAGAAGCAAGCCCAAGGAGGATCTTTGCAAATGCGCACACCTATCACATTAATTCCATTTCTGTAAATAGTGATCATGAAACGTACCTCTCTGCAGATGACCTAAGAATAAATCTATGGCACTTGGAAATCACAGACAGAAGTTTTAGTATCCTTTTGCTCCATTACAGAACATATTGGACATGTGGGGTATGGTATCTGTATTGTTTAGCTTTAAAACTTAAGACTGTTAGTTCCTTAACACTGTGTTCCCAGATATTGTAGACATCAAGCCCGCCAACATGGAGGAACTGACAGAAGTAATCACAGCTGCTGAGTGCCATCCACACCAATGCAATGTATTTGTGTACAGCAGTAGCAAAGGCACTATCCGCCTGTGTGATATGCGAGCAGCAGCACTCTGCGATCGGCACTCAAAATGTAAGTACATCTGCTAAGGTGCTGCGAGGTTAAGGAGGTGAAAACACTGAATGTTATTTTTTGACTAATTTTGACAGAACTATAAAACAAAATATGAGTGTGTTAGTCGCATCGATCCTCTTTTGTTTATAACCGCAACGCAATATTTCTTACTTCTTTTAGTCTCGTGCTGAATGTACACAAAGACTTCTGGATATCAGCATGTTATTTTTTTCTAAATTGTAAATATCTTTAATATTACAAGTAGATATTTATGTTGCTCTACCTGTAAAAAGATATGTTTAGTTTAACTAGAGTTCTTGAATCCTAACCCGGTCTATAGTGGGATTGATTTTTTCGTAAATAAGAATCTAAAGGATATTTCTCTTTGCATTTCAGTCTTTGAGGAGCCCGAGGACCCTAGCAGCCGATCCTTTTTCTCTGAGATAATCTCCTCCATCTCAGACGTGAAGTTCAGTCACAGCGGACGCTATATGATGACACGTGACTACCTCTCCGTCAAAGTTTGGGACCTCAACATGGAGAACAGGCCAGTGGAGACGTATCAGGTGCATAGACACTTAGCTTATGATAATTATCCCTTATGAACTCATAGGGTATAGATATCCATATAGACTGAAAACATAAAATTGTGTTTTCTGGATCAAATTTTCCATCTTTGTGGTTTTTGTTACAGTAGACTTTGGCCTTGTGCTGATATGTAGCTCCTATCAACAGCTGTACGTTTTATTCCTAGTTTTCAATTTGGTGTGAATTTGTTAACATCATTTTGGCTAAATATGAAAACTAGTTATGGAATGGTTGTTCAATTAATGTCATGCAAGGCCCCCACAGCTCACAAAAGTAGTAGCCTCAGATGTTTCTCTAGACTAGAGACACGCAAGGCTGAGGTCGGTTCTGAACCACACAGACATTGTGAAAGAGAACTTACGGAAGGCAGTGTTTGAGAAATGTTCATGTAAGGCGTGGAACTATAGATATTTGGTTGAAGTGAACTTGTAGGCTAAGTTACATATGCTCTTGTTTCAGGTCCATGAGTACCTTCGCAGTAAGCTCTGCTCCTTGTATGAAAACGACTGCATCTTTGACAAGTTTGAGTGCTGCTGGAATGGCAGTGACAGGTAAATGTTTTCTAGCATGCATTATTTAAAGTTGTATATGTGATAGTTTTGTGAGTTAGAGTTAAAGATTACGTTAAGGTGGCATTGTCTTGTAAATTTGGGGAATTCACTTTTCCTTTTCCCTCTCCTCTACTAGTGCCATCATGACCGGCTCCTACAACAACTTCTTCCGAATGTTCGACCGCAACACCAGGCGGGACATCACACTGGAGGCATCCCGGGAGAGCAGCAAACCACGGGCCACGCTGAAACCGCGCAAAGTGTCCACTGGAGGGAAGAGGAAGAAGGATGAGATCAGCGTGGACAGCCTGGACTTCAACAAGAAGATCCTCCACACTGCCTGGCACCCCAAAGATAACGTGATAGCTGTGGCAGCCACCAACAACTTGTACATTTTCCAGGACAAAATCAACTAGAAGATTTGGGGCTCCAGAGGATAGGGCTTTTACCGTACCCGTGTAGTTAAGCCTACTACTTGTCTATCTGTATAAGAAGAAACAGCCTCGTTGTCCTCCTGGTGAAGAATTTGAAAGCACGTGTCTACTTTTTTTGCCACAGGAGGTTGATCCATAGGCCTGTTTTATTTTGAGTCTGAGCTTAGGTTGTTTTTGCCTTTGGCACCAGGGCAATCAACATGCCCCCCTGACCCAGAAAGCCCAATTCGGGTCTAATTGATGGAATGGCACTCCCTAGAGGTCAAACTCTCGAACGTTGGTGTTTGTGTTGACATTTTAAGCCTTCATTTCATGATTTAACGACAGAACTCTTGGAAGCCCTCAAAATGATGTCTTGTCAAAGTTGTAACATCATCTTAAAGATTTTGGGCCCTCTGAAGCACGGATTAATGGCCAATAAGCCTAACTGTAACATTCCCCCATTGGCCATGTATTCAGGCCAAACTACTGGTGGAAGAGGCCATGAATTTGGAAAGTGGACCTGTTTTCTTTATCCCCTTCCCTCCTTTTGCTTTACCCCAGACAATACGGTGACATAATTTCACTGACTGTATCTACTCAAGTACACCTTGTCATCCACATAATAAAAGAAACTAAAACTACAGATGTGTTTTTAAATTTAGAAGTATGTATTAAAACATGTTTATTGCTTTGCATGTTTTTATGTTGTAGAGAGGTGGAAAAATGTCCAGTCACACCACTGTCTTTGAGCAGATCTCAAGCTAACTTGTTATGGAAATACTATTTGGGGCTACCAGTGTCAGAATCACTGTTAGAGACAACCGACAATGTGTTTGTGTCAAGAGATTAATTTTAAAAGTTTTTGACCATGTTTTAGGGTGCAGGCTGGAAACTACATGGCACAAGATGGGGCCCAGGACAAAGGGAATCTGCAGCCTTAATACCTACTTCTATCAGTGACAGCTACGAGTTATGTCCCCAAACGTTTTACAAACCTCATGTGCATTATTTGTAAATCCTATTTTATAGAGTTATGTCCTCATATACTGCTGCTACATGTGGCTGTCTATGAAAATCACTAAGGAGGAAAATTGCACACCATACAGTTTATGTGATAGAGTGCCTCCGAGTAATGTAATAAGTAGGAAATTCAGACAGGCCTCATACATGTGCCCTTATTCATTTGTTAGGGATCTCACCCAAATTTGAACCACGTACTGCAAATGTGGATCTTCTCTCCGTAGTTGTGAATGCAGAAATGAAGGTTGACTACACAAAACATATACTGATAACATTAAAACACATAATAATGCATTGTCTTTGTCCATTGAATCCTAACATGGTGGCAATGTATTCACTTGTTTATTATTTTGACCAAAGTTCAATAAAATTTTAATTGTGTTCATCTGCATGCAGAGCTTTCTTTAACAAATGTCATTCCATAGTTAGTTGCTGGTTTATTTCTCTTTATTTTGTGTTGAATGAACAAAATGGACCGTATCAGTACTGAACAAGCTGTTTGATTGTTTCAAAGTGACGATATATAATTGCAGAAAATGCAACTGATAGACTTATGATCCCTTTGACCCAAAAATTAAAAGTCAAAAATTACCTTTATCCACAGCTGATCTTTAAAAAAACAACCAATAGTGTAATAAATCAAATATAGTGAGAACTCATAGCAAAAACTATGACAAAAGTGACACAGTAAATACATACATTTATCAGTTCCCTGACGTGCAGATTTAAGGAGCAGGAAGCAGCAAAACAGTCGTCTCCAGACCAGGACAAGCAAGAAGCTGAGGATTGGTCACAGCAATGACAGATCCTACACTATCCAAACTGGTGTAGGCGACATGGGGCACACAATCAAAACAAAAAAGTGGCATGACACCACATAGCTCCGGTGATATGCAGAAGGTCCCGTTTTAAGGCATGCCGAGATGGTCACATAAAGGTGACGAGGTGGAGAAACGCTCCCCTACTCAGTAGGTGTTGTGGGAGGTCAGACGTTTCCCAATATATATCCTAAAAGAAAAAAAAAAAGGATTGTGTACAATAAGAGACCGCTGAAGGTAAGACATGAGTTAAAACACTCAAAAATCAAATCAGAACAACAAAATAAACCGATATAAGCTTGATATCTTTAGGATGCTTGACAAAGTCTTGCGTATTAAATCTGAGAAATCATCAGAAGAAGCGTGTTGGATTTTAACCAGATATAGGCTTGCAACATTAGGATGTTTATGCTATCTTTCACCGTGGTATTTCTTCATTTTTGCTTCATTTGTTCTTCTACTGTTACATGGAAGAGATTGATGAAGGAAATTGTGAATGAAGATACGTAAATAAGGATGTAAACTGTTGTTCTCCAAACTGCAATCAAAACACAGGACTAGAATCTATCATCCTCCAATTGATTGACAGGTGGCTAACACAGAGACAACCACTAAATTATTCAGGCTGAGCTGGAGCAATTAAAGGTCTGCTTGCACCAGTGGTGTCATTAAGAAGAGGGAAATCAGTGTCTTTTTTTCCTCTATTATTGTTTCTAAAATATTAAAACACTGTTCTGTGTGTCAAATCTGGATTATAGAAATGATAAGATCAGCTGTATGTGGTTCAGAGTCTGTTTTTTACAAGTCTTCAGGAAATGTACTGCACTTGTGATTTGCCACTGCAATGTTGCTAGAAAGAAATTATATGATATTGCTTACCCTAGTCCAACAGCAAGTATGTGAGAAATGATTAATGAGGGAAGGAAAAGCTTGAGAAAGTCAGCGGAGAGAACACCCCCCTTCTTCATGACGCTGGTGTTCCTGATGCTGAGAGAGGTCGTGCGCTTAGGGTACTTCAGCAGGAACTCCCTACAGAGTAGCACATTAATTTTTCAGTGTTGAATACATTAAAACAAATGAGGGCTGGTCTAATGTCATACTTACACCTCAACTGATAAGAGCATCATTTCTATTTCTAACTATGAATTAACATAAAGCATCATGGCGAAGGACAAATTATGTTGAGCAACTGTTTTTACGCTGCTAGTAACAAAATAAATCAGTGAATCAAACTGTTTATACTCATGGAGAAACTTATTTATGATAACAATTACAAAATCAGTATGAAACAAAAATCTGTCTGAAGGGGGTTTATGTCCTCATTTTCACATTCTGTCCTATATCTGTCCATGCTTTTGCTTATCCAGATTACTAATTTAAGTACATCTAAAGACATACCAAATGTAAAGCATACTAAATTAGAGAGGAATCTAGTAGTTAGCAAAGCGATATGAGTTACATACTTTGGTGGGCTGTTTTCAGGTCGACTGGACCAGTCCCAGATCCAGTCTGCATTTTTCTTCATTATGCTCTCCACTTCTCGTCTCCTTTCTTGGAAGTCTTCATCTGACTAGAGACACCAATTTTGGACAATTAGATACTGTCAGTACATGTCCAGCACCATGTCTGCTGTCGTTGTATTCATTGAAAACATTGTGCTGCTGGGTTATTATTAAAACATATATATGTAAGCTGAACAGATCTATTTTTAGACTGGTCAGTGGACAAAACAAACCTGTTTACCTTTAAAAATTGTAGGAATTTTTAGTACTCTTAAATTGTCTAAATAATGATATGTCACCACTGTCACACGAGCCACCAGTGGTGATTGTCTTGTCCCAAGATACAAGACTTTATTCTGTCAGTCTGCTCTTTCCGTAAAGGGAGCAAAACTTTGGAACTCTCTACCCACTACTCTGAAATTAGAGACCAACAGTGATGGTTTTAACAAAGGACTCAAACAGTGGCTAAAATCAAAACTACAGCGCTCACACGATTTGTCTTAAACTGGTTGATTGCTTGACCATTTTGTCTTTGCTTTGAAGCTTATGTATGTATTCAATCAGAAAACTGTCTCTCTTTTACTGTTGTAATTCTATTGTACACTGTATTCCTTTTTTTCCCTCTCCTTTTTATTTTCACATTACTTTTATTACTTCAAACGCCTCATGTGGAAAAGTGTGAATTATCACATGTGCTAAAACACTTAAACAATGCAGCTGGTTTGTCAAATAAACAGTAAAATAAATGAATAAATAAATATACCTGTGAGCTGTTTCCCTCTGAGCCTCTCCACAGAAGAAGGGGGGTCTGTGCCCGGAGTGGGCTGTTGTGAGGAATGCACATGAGGAACACTTTGGTCACTTAAACACGCATGACATGAGTCCAACTTGTTGACAATCTGTATTGCACAACAGGACAAATGAGCACATGAACAGCTTCCCCAAACCTGTTGCACTGAGAGCTTCCTCTGGAGCTGCTTCTTCCTGACTCGTGCTGTGCATCGAGCAGCATTTTCTCCACGTCACACTCCTGACTCGTAGTGGGGATCTGCTCCTGGCTCCCGTGATGACTGGGATTTTGGGAGACATTGCCACTGAAGTGCAGCTCAACCCAGGAACCTTGAATCAAACACACACATTGTTAAAATCAAACCTGAGGTGTCCAGTATGTGGGCTATATGTGGCACGCACGCAGCCTACAAAAATAAACAGACAGGGGCTGAATCTGGCTGGAGGGCATTTGATTTCGCAACATTATAAAATAAGCAACACGAACTAGGTCAATGGGCTGTACCCCGGAGGGTCTATTCGCGTGTAATAATTACATAAAATGGTTTTTAAAGAGCAACCATTTGTACTTTTCAGCATTGGCTATACGTGTTAAGAAATGTAACCTTAGTTCACTTGTGTTTTCATCTCTCTCGGCTAGTGTTAGCTCCTACATTACTGAGCTATGAACAGTTGTGTTGTATTTATACGTTACCTTGCAGACTTTCGTCCGACGAAATGTCCTTTTGAAGAGACATACTGCTGGTAAAATCCTGCGGGTCCACTCGTGAAAGTAGTTTTTAGATGACAAAACTTGAGCGAAATCTGTGTTTTTGCAGCTGGAGCTCCAACTACGACAATAACAATGACGCAACGTGGTGTTTGTCTGAAATTTGATTGGCTCTGGAACAACCACGCACCTCCTCGCGCAGACTGAGGAGCGCGCATGTCCGTACGCATGTTTCCTGAAATACCCAAATAAACAAGAGTGCCAAGTCAAGGAGATTTAAAACGTTGCTACTGAAACTAAATCAGTTTTTTCTTTATGTGTTTAGTTTATGTTTTAGTAAAACAATATGTGTTATTCATTACGCAGTTTCAAGGCCCTGTCTGCAGATGGCAGCCAAAGCTCATGAATCATCACTAAATTGCTTCATCACCTCAGTTAACAACACAGTGACACATGCCAAACAACATGGCTGATTAAGTAAAGAAACAAAATCAACATATGAAGTGCCTTTGTCAAATATGTTCTAAGACAGATACTCATTTGACTCAGTTGATACTGGATGTTCTGTACAGTCCCAAGATTAATTTATGCAATAAACACTTTCAGTTTGCTGAACTTTTCACAAATGACACAAATGTTTCCTGGAACATGTACATATTCCTACTCATACTCCTAAATATCTTACTGTTTATATTCTTCAACATACCCACTGTTTAATAGCATTTTCTCTTTTTCACACCTGCACTAATCAGTATACTGAATGTATAGATAATATACATATTTTTTGTTGTATAGCCTATTCATACCTGCAGTAACCAGCACCATGTATATAATTTTAGCATATTCATGCACATATATATGTAGTATATTTAGTTCATACCTGCACTGCCCATATGTACATACCTTGCACTTTACTACCTTGCACTTCTGGTAAGATGCTAAACTGCATTTCGTTGTTCCTGTACTTGTACTGTGTTCAATGACAATAAAGTTGAATCTAATCTAATCTAATCTAAAATGGTCATACAATTTATCACCCTTAAACCAACCACATTTTGGAGGAGCTGTAAAGAACAGCATTTACGGTCTGCATACTTCATTCAGGGAACTTCCCTGATCACTTTCTTCATCCTCTGACAGATCTCTAGGTTGTTTTCAGAGATGATCTTCAGGACTGCATGTTTTCTGGGTTAATGCGTTCTATTGTTTACTTGGATCCTGACATGAGAGGAACAGATGGACATTAACTCACACACACACAATCTGTTTCCGATGACTTCTTTATAATAATTATTTCCCCCCAAAGGTTAAAAAAATGTTTTTATCTTTATGATTTCTTGTAAGGGTGACTTCAAATTTGAGGCAGGCAAATGAAATTATGCTTGTTTCCATTAAGATTTGTCAGTCTGATTATTCTTGCATAATTTGATTATTTGTACAATTGAGGGGGCTCATTATTCTGGGGTGTGTTCTTCTTCCTGGAGGAACATTGTAATCACGGATTACTAATTTTGTTGGACAGAAACAACAACATAAAACTCACAATTTATAAATACACTACATTCTACAAACAAGCGCTAGTAGATAATTCTCTAGTCAAGCTCTATTGTGTGACAGTGTATCTCTTTTACTACCAAATATAGCATATTTTCCAGCCCAGTAAATATAAACAATGAGTTTATGTTCTCTATTGATTAAAACTACATTACATCAGCCAAATAAAGGGACAAATTATCTTTAAACACAAACAAATAATTTTAAAACTTACAACTGTTTATTCATCCTCCAGAAGGGATGACACATTTGCTAGGGTATTGATTCCAACTCTAAAGTGCAACATAAAACATGATTAAGATGACAGTTAATTAAACAGTGTTAATACTTGTCGAGCTCACAAAAAAAGGATAAACATTTACGAGAAAGCAAGTAAAGTTCAATTGAAAATTGATCGCAGGAAACATCTATATGATATATCAATTTAAAAAGTTAACTTTTTGCTCTTAATTGACAATTGACTTATCAATGTGTGCTCCACAGATCAAAAGAAAAACTGTATCCACCAAATAAAACCCAACAGAGATAAATTGCGGATGGTATAACATTTCAAGCAGCAATGAAAAAAAGTCTTATGACTCAGGGAGGTCTCCCGCCCTTAAGAACAATTGAATTAGAGCAGCAAACAAAAAGGCCATCACTGATTACTGTAGACAATCTAATGTTATTAGAAGTATTGTTTCGGCGAAAAGTAATTCACAGAACACAATCCATCAAAAGGACAGACAAATAAGCATTAATGTTAATGCCAGAGAGAATATATCATTTTGTATAAACCACCCCAGTCATTTGCAGAAACCAAGAAACCCAGCCATCCATGCAGGAATTAAGCTGCAAGCTACAACATACCATTTTTAAAATATGCACATTCCTCTTTCGAAAAGTATTTTGTTCTTGAAAACACTTAAGCATCTCTTCAAGTTTTGTCACCATGTACAAATGAAGTGTATTATTTCCATCTCTTTGTTGCTGCTTAATTTCACAGGTTTTTACTCCTTTATTTTTTACGTTCATAAGGACCTGTGTGTTTAAAATGAAACGAAACAAGCTTACTCTCATGTCATCAACCTTACATTAAGAAAACCCATCAATACAAATATGCCCCTACCAACACTAGGAGTCCAGCAAAGCACAGCATTTTTGAAAGGAATTTCAAACTTTCAGAAATATGCACTGTATACTGTTTATATATTGTATTGTATATTGTTGCGATTACCATCCCATCTTTGCCATTTGCACGCCACAATTTCGTGAACTATATCTTTGTTGCTTACATACCTTCATGGTTTAGTCCATCTGAAGAAGAGCAGCTGAATGCATCCTTGATCCAGACACTTTCTGTAGATCCCCAACTATCATAATAACCTTCAAGAAAACGACAAAAGTAGTAGAATTAAAAAAATTAAGCTGAAAATGGGAAAATATGTCATAAAATACCAATGTACATATCTTAAGACGCATGTAATGCCAATAACCAAGGGCTTAACGCTCTGATAGGATCCCTGATAGGTGCTCAGTTGCTGAAGTGAGTGTACTGGGTGATAATACTAACCATAGTAATTTAATTCCTATAGTACTTTTCAAAAGTAGGTTACAAAGCAGTTATCGATGAAATCCAGTCAATAAAAATGGTCAAAATGTTTCTGTTTTCATACAAAATTGGCAACATGTTGACTAGGTAATCTTAACTACATACAGAATTTAGGCCAAATCTTGGTATAAAACACTTACCTCGTTTGATTTAACGCTTAATTAGCTCAGAATTCCAGGAAATCAGCAGCTAAGAGAAGCTTTTCACATATTTTCATAATTTCCACCATCGATGAACTAAAAAACATAGATTTTCACAGTTAGTTTCTCCTTTTTATCTTTACAGGAGAAAACACTCTGCCCAGGCCCAAGTTACATGTAACCGCCCAAAATATTCGCGCTTTTTTTCGCGACCGGTTACAGTCTTGCGTGAAAAAAGCGTTGTGCGTCACTTCCGGTAATAATTTTTTAAAACAGCTACAGCGGATATGGTCATGTTTGGCTACGTTTGATACATCGCTAGATATCTGCGGCGTTTCTTTCTTGTCGGACAAGATTCATGGAGGAATTTAAAATGCCTTTCTAACACCAGTTGGATAAAGGTGATGATATTTGTCATTTCTATTTTAAGCCAATGGCCAACCAACAGCCTTAGTCAAACAGCTCTGTTACACTTAAACCCCGGTAATTTTTAGTTATATAGAAAATGTAAAACGGAATTGATGTTGTTCTCCTTGATGTTTGCCCGAGACATAACCAATAAACAAATACAATTCAAAACTTTTATTTAACCGACCGGACTACGATATGAGCAAATAAATTCAACTTTCTGTCATTTCAGGAACGACTCGGTCCATTTCACCCGGAAAAGGTCACGCAAAGCGCCGTCTGCTGACGAGAGGTAACTACAACAACACACTACCGTGTAGTTGCGTGTCATACGGCTTTCTTTAATGAAGGTGACGTGGTGTTAGAAAGACACAGTCCTTTGTTAATTACACTCTTCTTATGTACTTATGTACTCACAGGACTATTGTGTTTTTAATATGATAGTTAAAAACGATCATATAACTATGTGATTCCCAACCAAACTGCAGCAGTCAAATGAACACAAAGTAATCTATTCAAGTCATAAAATAGTAAACAAAACAATGTTATTATCATTTATGGAAAAATAGATGTATTTGTTGTCATTCTTTTATTCATAATTAAGAAACTTACATATTGTGGATAAAAGATCTGGTTTCTTCTGCAAAAAGGACGATTTTTGCCTTTGGATATGAATGCAACTTTGTTGACATTATGCAATGATGTCAGGTTTCTGCTTGAGTGCATAATATATTGAGACAGCTACTTTCAGTCACCTTTGCTAGTAGACATAAAATCAGAGCCGGCCCAAGGCATAAGCGAACTAAGCGCCTGCTTAGGGCCCCACAGCCAGTAGGGGGCCCCCAAGAGCAATAAGAAAAAAATTAAATACTTGTTTATTTTGCATGTATGAGTGATGCTTTCTGTATGATCCAATATATATTATTGTAAAAATAAAATAAAATAAAAACATTTTAGTGCTGCTGCTGATGTAGGCCTATTATCAGCTATCATTATGTGCCTCCTGCTGTGTAATGTACACTGAGCATCCTGAATGTGTTACATTTTGAGGTTAAAATCCATATGTGGCACCCTGAACATCATTCATCAGTCATTCATTGGTATTATTTTTGTGGTTGCATTGGTATTATTGATGTCATTACCTAGGCCACCTCCTTAAATGTGTAAAGACATGCCATCTTAGGTTGGTTCTTGATCATCAAACAATGAGCGCGGTCCTGACCTGCTCTTGTTCCTTGAAAAGCGTCTTGAGATGACGACTGTTGTGAATTGGCGCTATATAAATAAAATTTGATTGATTGATTGATTGATTGATGCCAGGCGCATCAAATTTTTAATGTCATAGGTTTGTGAATGATCAACAATCAATATTACTGGCAGAAATAGAGGGCCCCAAAATCAAATTTTGCTTAGGGCCCCATTGAGGCTTGAGCCAGCTCTGCATAAAATGTTAAAATAGACAATGTTTACACCTGGTTTACCGGCTGGAGGGAAAAGGAAATTGAAGAGACCATGAAGATATCACTGCCTGATTTGTTTGAAGGAGTGTGTTAACCGACAGTGTAATGAGGGACAATTGTTATCCACAGCATCTGGCTGGCGAGGACTGATAAAGAGGAATTATGGCCACTTTTATCTGGAGTTGGTATTTGCCCCAGGTCTGTTTGTGTAGCTGACATCATACAGGGACTCTGTGCAGAAGCTTGTGTGTAAAGGTGAGACTAGGTCACGCTGGAATTGGATACCTTTGGTAGTATAGACAGGAGAGGATAGCAAGGAGAGAGTTATGAAGTTCAGTGCAGGTTTGCGCGAGCTTAATTTGGTAAATGTGACAAGGCCGTGGAAGCACCGCTGTAGATGGAGGACAGATTATCTCTACTTTTGATGTTGATAAGCATAAAAAAATGTACTAAACATGACTGTTATCAAACTTTATCTTAGGTTGTTGAGGAAATGTGGATGGAAAAGTTGGATCACATTTTTGTGATTGTTCATAGCAATAACTATCATGCTTCAGTCTTGGACCTCAAACCACATTTCCTTTCACAGTTGTACACTTATGTACACAAAGTTCCTTGTTTTTAAAGGTCAGATAAGTTCAGAGCTAATAAAACAGGCTTGTTGTTTATAAATTAAACTATCAAGAGTGTATTTTTGGTGTATGTCTAAAAATAAGACAGAGGAAGTTGTGTCAAAAGTCAATAGAAACATTCATTTGTTATGAAGTGGAATAATAAAAAAATACTACAGAGAATTGAGATAGTGAGAATATAGGGAATGGGTCACACATGCCTTTTTGTTACCAAGACATTGTTTGCTTTAGACTTGTGGTTTTGGCTTGAGTTTTCAAAAAAGAGATGCTTAAGACTTTATCTTTTATTTTTGTCATTCAAACAGTATAAACCTTCCTCAATGGTTAAACGGCCACTGTATAATGCGATGTATTTGCACTGTACATGCACATAGTAGCTTTCCCAGAGAATAAACTTCCATTTGTTTATTTATTTCTCATATTGAGTTAATCCCACATCCTCCATGTGTTTTGGTTTTCTTAATTCCCAGTGCGGTCAGCCCTCCTCCAGGGTCTTCTTGAGCCGTTTTCTGGAAGCACGTTCCGCCTTTTTTGATGAGCCATGAAAGTTGAAAAGCTGACCAGGAGATTTGACAAGAATAATCATAAATCCCAATCACACAAATCCTTTTCTCAAGCACTGGAGATCAAAAAGTGGGCGCTTTTAAGTCCAATCTTGGCAGGCAGTAAAATGTGTCCTTGCAAATCATTTAAAAATATCCATGTTTTCATGTTTCCCTACTGATGTGGTTGGTAAAAAAAATGTCTCTGTTGGGAAAATATGTTATACAAAAAGAAAACACCGGAAATATTGCTGATGCAGTCAGCACATTGAGGATAAGGAGTTTAAAATCACATTTTTCTGAAGTTGAAACGGGACTGATCTCTGGTGAAAGTTTCCGTTGTAGATCTTTTGGTGAGTAGGAGGAGGAGGAGGAGGAAAGCGACAGAGTCTGCACGGGGCAAATTGAACAGGGTCTTCCTGCTGTTCCCATCTCTTAGAATGTAATTTGATTATCTTGCATCCTTATCAAGTCAGGGAGGAAGTATTATACGCCCCAGTGTGTAATGTTTTGGGCTCAATTCATAATGAATGACCCAACATTCAATTAAAAACACTCTATTCATCAGGAGCTTTGATTCAAGTTTGCGAGCATGGTCTAAATGTCTCAGCCTGAGCGAGCACGTGTGCTCATTCTCTGTGGTCTTTAATTGCCTCTTAAAGTTCCCCAGCCTCTTTGTAATACATGACTATCAGCTCTTAAAAGCACTCATTGAGCTATAAGCAGAAGAACTTCGAAGGAAATGGAGAGGACTTACTGGGGGCTGTGTGAGAGTTGTGGGAACTCCTGCCAGGAGCAGTTTATAAAGCATAGTTTTATCAGCCCCAGTGTCACAAGCATAAATCCTGACTGTCTGAAGTGGCATTTAGAGGGAGGGTATAAATCATTGTCTCAGCAGAGAGGGAAAGCGGACGTGTGTGCGCACACACACTGAGAAATGCAATGGCAACCAACTGTTTATGAATTGTAACCAACCATGATTTACAGATTTTGATGAAGTGGGGCATGCTCGCAAATGAATTTCACTTGAACGTTCAAGGGTTCGAAAAAATCTCTCAAACTGATTAATCCAGTTTGTCAGCGGTGCTTTTGTGGTCCACTCTTAATGGATTCTTGTTATTTGTTTAATAATTTTGCTGGAAAATTGGTTGACATTAGATCACACACATATACATAGTAGTATATGTATGTATGTACTGTGTATGCTGTGTACACAAGTTGGCATTTACATATTCACTATGTGCATATGTCATAGTGTAAGTTTGAGTTATACCTATTATTAGGGGAAGCATTGAGAGTCCAACTCTTTCACACTTCAAGCTAATGTTTCGTGGATCTGATTCTAGAGGAAACTATCAAAGGACTATCCTGCAAATATTAAATGGAACTAAATATACATATCTCTAAACATACATGGCGACATCTGTTATAGATCACTGTAAAGTTTCAGCATATTGATACTCTATCTCACTTAAATTCTCATAACCTCTCACATACCAGTGTTTCCCGAATGTCCTTGAGTCAGTATTGTCGTGGGAACTTCATCAGAAATACGGTAGCTCTGTAGTTGCGGTAAGTGATGGATGTTGTATTTTAAGACTCAGAGACGTGGTTTAAACCCAAACATGTATACCGCAGGAATCTCAAAACACCACAGTCCCAGAGAGTAAAGCCATGGGAATCACTCTGCTACTACGTGTAAATATGACAGCCAGCAAGAGGAGGTTTTTGTTCATTTGAAGCAGTTATGTAATATGCATTTACTTTATTCAGACGTATAATGTTCTGACTGTTATATGAAAATTGTGAAAATGAAAGGTAATGGCACTTAAAAGGAGAAGATAGAGAGATATCATCACAAACATAAGCACACATCTCACTGAAAAGCTTCTCTGGATATTAACCTTCTGGTGTAATTTGCAGCAGACACTCATATTTCTATCGCTGTGTGATTTCTGTTGGACTCCAGGGGATGACTTAATGATATCCTCATATGAAGGGCTATAATTCATGATAAAGTGAATTCAATATTGTTGTGCCATCCTCACCTCCCAGGCGTAATTTTCTTTCAAAACACGCGTAATTGTCCTGTTCTCATGCTTGATATGAGAGAAGGAGGTTGTTGGTTTTATGGGATAATACGGTTTCGGGGTACAGTTGCCCCTCATGTGGTCTCACTTTGATTTTAACTATTGCGAAAAAATATATATATTTCTTAGTGTTAACAATCATACGCTATTACCTTTGTGTTTGTAAGCACAGACAGAAGCACTGTTTACAGATGATATGCATTATTAGCTTTATTCTCTTTGAATCATTGTTGCCTTTGAAACATGACTCATTTCTCAGTCATAACAAAATCAGTAGCCATGTTTGTCAAATCTACTGACATCTCACATGATCACACTTCATGTTGCATGTTTGATAAAAAGTGATATCTTTCTCCCAGTGCAATTTGAACTTTTAATTTGAAAGGGAACCGAGGTACTCACTCAATATAGAGATTAAATGTTACGGTTGGCTTATACAATCAAACACTTATTAAAGTAGAATCACATACTGAAAATTAATCATCCATGCTGTCACAGTTGTAGTGTAAAAATATGAATTCACAGTGGTGAAACAGAATACACATTTCTCAGTGCAAGTTCATAAAAAATAATGTTACAAAACAAAGATTTACTCTTGTAAAGTACAGGGAACACAGGCACCAAACTTTTCCCGAGCCGTGTTTGACAAATCTATAATAAATAACTCACAGTAATATTTACACTGATAAAAGCTTCACCTTACAGGATAAAAATGTGTTTTTTTTTACATGCAGATTTGTAAATATCACTCACTTGACTCGTATTTTACACAGTATCTTTTTAAAGGACCTCCTGAAGTCATTGTTGAATACAGTGTATATAACAGGATTTAGTGAGCTATTGCAGTAACCAAACCAGAAAAACATTTTAAACAGAGTCTCAGGCACACAACAGGTGTCACACAAGGCAATAAGTGTGTACGTGAAGAAAAAGGGGAACCAGCAGAGAACAAACACTCCCATGACCATAGCCAGAACAAAGGTGAAGCGCCTCTCTCTGTACTGCCTTCCTTTCCACTTGATCGCCCTCACACTCCGTGGTGACCTTGGCGTTGGAGAGGCTTGTTCCAGCTTCATCTCAGCTCCTTTGGTTATCCTCATCCCCTTCTTTTTCTTCATGGCGCACAGCATAGTTTCATTGCCATCAGATGAGGATTGTTCTTCCAGGTCTTGCCCGTTGACCTCTTCCTCTCTGTCTTCTTTTCTCTCTCTGTTGCACGAGTTGCGAGAGTGTTTTTGTCTTTCACCTGGCAGGGCTCTTGCTCGTCTTATGGCAATCTGGTAGATTCTGACATAAACCATGATCATGATGACGCAGGGTGCGAAGAAGGAGGCAGTGCTGGAGAATATGATGTACCACTTCTCCTCGTTAACTTTGCATTCAGGGTTGTCCTTTCTACCCTCTTCCTTTTTCATTGTGATAAGGGGAGGGAAAGAAATGATGGCTGCCAGTACCCAAGCTATGACAATCTTACATTTAATCCTGCATGGTGTTCTTCTTAGATTGTACTTGACCGCTTGAGTGACAGACCAGTACCTGTCCAGGCTGATGGCACACAGATGAACAATGGATGAAGTGCAGAAAAAGACATCCAGAGCCGTGTAGATCTCACACCACACTACACCAAAGCACCAGTAACCCATCAGTTCATTTGCTAAAGAGAATGGCATCACTAAAATGGCAACCAGGATGTCCGCACTTGCCAGAGACACCAAAAACAAGTTTTGAGGTGCCTTTAGGGCTCTACTTGTCATCACAGCAATCATTACCATGACATTGCCAAAAACAATAAAAAGAAAGAGGAGAACCACCAGGGTTGTTACAAGCACTGATATCTGAACAGTATAAGGGTGCCAGTTATGCAAAGTGTCATTTCTGCCGGTGAAGTTTAGACAACCCATCAGGATGAGCTGTGCTGTCAGTCAAACCAGCAGTCTGTTAATATCATCCATTTAAGAACTCTGCATCAGGGTAATTCGATTTTTCATTTTTCAGTCATGATTTGACAAAGTCCCTTTTTTCAGTCAGAAAATACGCATCTTCTTAAAAAAAAGTGAAATGTCTCCTGGTATAAAAATGTGAAAAACTAATAAACAGAAAAGATTTATTCCCACTCTCCTCGGCATGGGAAAATATCTGTTCTTCAAAAAAAAATTCTCCATCCATCAACTTTCTAAAAACTTGAAGTTTACTCCCTTTTGAAGATATTTTATTAAACAGACTTACTTTGCAGAAAGTCCTGGCTCAGGCAGATCTTATCATCTTTTGTGGCTGTAGTACAGGCAGCGTCTTTTTATATGAGCTTGGTCTGACGCTGAGGATATGTGATGCTGCTTCCACTTTAGTGGAAAAGGGAATGGGCGGAGTTCATCTGCTGCCGGAGATTTAAAAGCAATTTGGTGTTCCACCCAGACCCTGAAATCATTGGTCGATTATGTCGACCAATGTTTTGTTGATTTATAGAAGTAATAATGGTTGAAGTTTTATTAAATTACAATGGATTACAAGTGCACGCTGTGTGGTTTTGTTGCTCCATTTTATGAGCAAAATGTTCAGATATATCCTGAAGGAAAATTGCTTGAAACAATGTCCGGATCTAAAGAGAAGATCAGAGTCACCTACAGTAGAGATAGATCACTAACAGTGCCAGGCAACAGCAAGAGCAGTTTATTTGTTAGAATAAAAACTTCTTCTCGACCTCTGTTTCACTTCTATGTGACAGAATGGGATAAATTCAAGAGAGTGCTCTGGGACATGTCTGTTAAAGCCTCACTTATAGTCAAATAAATTGATGTTTCTAAAACTAAAAATCAGCTGCCATTCAGAATATACAGCTTTGTTGATGTTTTAGCAGTGTTTAACAGAATATAGGAAGAAACCATATGTAATATGACTTATTAATCCCTTAAAGGCAATCTCATTTTTCAGCCTACCCATAAAAACATTTAACAGGCAACACAGTCAACAGTAACATTCAGACGGTTTATGCTGTCTGATATGTTATAATTATAACACGCCTTATATATAGAAAAATCCCACCAGGGACCAGGTTTTACTCTTCAGTGGACAGACTAATTCATCTAATGAAACTGGAGTTGGTGTTAAACCGGCCATGGTGATATGGAATGCTCTGCCAGGACATATCATCCGAGAAAACAACAAATACAAATTTAAAGATCTAGTTAAAGAACATTTACTTGTAAAACAGATCCTTGTTTAGACGAAGCTTGGTTTGTCTGATCTACTTATAATAATGGAAGTCTGCTTATGTATTATGTATTAGGTACTGTTTCGGTAAATTAATCAATCCAATTATGTGGAATGTAAGTTGATATTTAAAACATCTGATTATTTTCGAAGCACAGCTACACTGTGGAAATGTATAAGGTCCAGTTATATGTCTATGTTGTTTGCATTGTTCTACTTGTGTTGTTTTGTTTTTGTCTTGTACGCTGTTGAGTTTAAGCGGTTATCGACGTTGTCTTCGTGTTTGTGGCGTGATGTTTTTTGTGTGACGCTGCACTGCAATGGAGACGTAACTGTGAATGTAGACTCTATGAAGAATAGCTAATGGAGCTCTTAATAAACGAAACAAAATGAAACATGAACTCAGTATGTTAAAAAATATTCATTCGTCGTGATTTCAACCACAAGTTATTGAGAATGGTTGCCTGAATCAAGTTAGCATTATTCTATACTCGTACACAAAGCAAGATTCTAGCGAAATTGACAAAAACTCAAGATGCAATAACGTGTACTACCGCTGAAGGCGCCAACGAGCTATTTCGCCCTGTACATGCCCCTCGTTATTCTCGCGAGAGAGTAGTACACGGGCTTCCGGTGTTCTGTTTGTGTACTGGAAGAAAGCGAACATACCGTTGTTCCCTCAGCCGGACGATTTGTCATATTATCGAGACGCTTTACAGATCATTTACACAAAGGTAAGTTTTACAACAACCCTTTGCTTGATATATTCTCCGTCAGTCGCTTCTAAATAGCAGTTTTAGGGCGTCAAATGTCACATTGACGTCGACGAAAGAGGGCCGATGGACATTTGCTAACCCCGTTAGCCTCAAGCTAACGTGAATGTTGCAGTCCTTGATTGTTTCATAGCAACTCGAGCGGATTTCCTTTACATTTTAGTAGATACTGCCTCTTACATGTACTATAATCCCGAGAGGCTGTTTGAATGTTAAAAATAAAGATGTTTCCCATGTATCGTAGCTTGCTAACATAATACCCTTAGTTTTCGTGCTAACACACCTGGCCATTGAAAAAAATGTTCTTTATTGACAACCATAGATGTCGGACGACTTGATGAAACAGTTAAGCAATTACAAAGCCCAGCTCCAACAAGTGGAAGTCGCTTTATCTACCGACCCGGACAATGAAGATCTCCTCAAACTCCAGAAAGACTTACAGGTTAGTATGTTCATGTCATTAACATGTCACAATGTTTGTAATCAGAGAGAAAAGATAACTGGGAATCACATTTCTTGTTTGTGTTTACATACCTGCTGAATAACGATGAGATGTATGTCTAAGAACTGTGTTTTGTGTTTGCACATTGGTAACCTGTGGTTAGAAATATAAACTCATTGATATTAAATACTATTACACAAAACAGTATTTTATGCTGTTTGAAGAAAATTTACTAAATACTTAAGTTATCTGCTCACCATAGTGGGAACTAGGGCTGGGCGTGATGGACCAAAAGTCATATCCTGATATATTTAGGCTGAATATCGATATACGATATATCCTGATATTATTATTGCAAAGTGAGAGCTAATGTTTAGTCATAGTCAAGGTCTTTACACACCGTGACCAACGCAAATATACGACGCGAAATTACAAAATGTTCGGAAGAGAATTTTGACGCGCCTGACTATACACATCAAGACCTAATGGTGCTGTGACAGCAACGCGATTGAGTTTGAGACAGTGAAAATACATATGGTATGTTGTATCTGAACAGGTTAGCGTACGAGCTAAGATTACTTAGCACAGATGAAAGTTAAAACAAAGACGTTTAGCAAACGATGAAAGCACACAAACTATCCTTCATTATGTTATCTTTGTAATGATTGTGTCTTTTGTCATAAAGCACTCTGTTCTCCGACACGTAAACAATCAGCCGGTCGGCCATGTTGGATATACCGGTGAATCAGACGTTGCAACAACACGAAATCTGATTGGTCAGAAGTGGACACACAGTATGTGAAACTTAAGAAAAATCGACCGTTATACGGAAAAATAAATGTCGCAATATCGCAGGACGGGAAAACGCTTGTATGATAGAATACAGGTTCGAAAAAAAAGTTTACGTCTGAAATAATCGCACAATGAAAACGCTCCCAGTGTGAAAGGACCTTCAAAGCCAAATGTGACATGTCACAAGTAGTTCTCTTGAAACTAGGTCGATGAAATTATGCTCAGCTGTTCAAAGAACAATAAAATGTCAACATAGATACTTTAAAACCACAGGAATACCTTCTTTTTTTTTCAAATTGAAACGCTGCATAAGGTGCACATTTAAATAAAAAATATATCCTGAAATAAAAATAGCCCATAAAGTAAAACAGGCCAATCTTGTTCGGAAATAAATGTGTTTATATGAGAAAAGCATCAACATTTGACAACTATAAATGGTCTATTAAAATCAAATAGCAGATTTTCTTCTCCTCTCTAACAAATCCAGAGATGCAAACAACAAACACTACTATAGAATTAAATACGACAAACCCTAGTAAGGGCAGTATTTACATGTATAAAGACAGAACAGAATAAAGTGCACAGTTTAAGAAAATTGTTTTTTAACATCATTTTGAGATTATCCATCTGTCTTTCTTATCTTCTTAACAGTCTCAACCAGTTGCACAAACATTTCCCCCTCTTTCTTTTTTACTTTTATAAACCTTGATAAACAGATTGCGCTGTCTTAAGGTGGACATTAAAGGACAGACAAGTGTGTCTTTCTTTGTTTAAAGATTTTGTGTGAGGAACACTAGCCTGTCAACAACAGCATCTGATATCTGTATATTAATATATGCGATTATGGTCCAGTTCCATATCTCATTTAAAAATATATTGATTTATTTCTTATATTGATATATCGCCCAGTCCTAGTTGGAACCAATGAATTGCAAGTGTTCAATTTGTGTTTTCCAAGTAACGTCAAACTTCATGTCAGTGGTGCAGCTCATGCTCCCCAATTACTTGACGTGTGTTTGATTTTATAAATGTAACCCATTCCCTTTTTGTGCTGTTCACTCAAATAGTTCAGGAGGACTCTTTTCTATCATTCATGTGCATCTGACCCACCTGTTGACTGTGTTTCTTCCATAGGAAGTCATTGACTTAACAAAAGATCTCTTGACTTCTCAACCCGCTGAAAGTGCGTCAAGCACTACTGGCTCAGACACAGTTCCCGTAAAGCTTGGCTGGAAAGTTGGGGACAAGTGTATGGCTGCGTGGAGTCAGGATGGACAGTGAGTATCATCACCCTCCTCTCTTCAAAGCATGTTATAAAGTGCCAGTTGAATTTAATATCTGTGTTAGATGGAAACTGATATGGATTGAGCTCTGACAGTCAATCGGTAGTTAAGATGGAAAATAAGTTAATAAAGTCACTTTTTGCAAAAGCATCGTTTGAATGAATACATGTAAACCGAGAAAGGCAATTGGTGTCATTTGATCCTGAAAAGAGGACCAGCTGTAATTTCTGTTTGTTGTATGTTTTGACCTCAGTCACAACAAAAACAAGTGTTTTTTAATGTAAATTAGAACTTTGTAGAGCTTGAGTCTTTGGCTCATACTCACCTGCTTACAGACGTGATTCTTTGACAGGGTGTATGAGGCTGAGATTGAGGAGATAGACCGAGACAACAGCACCGCAGCTGTTACCTTCGCTGGTTATGGGAATGCGGAAGTGATTCCTCTTCAGAACCTTAAAGCAGTGGAAGAGGGGAGACGCTCTGACGAGGACGGGGGCAAACCAAAATCAAGGTATGAACAAAACTGTCTATTTAAAAGAGTGTATACATGATCATTTTTGTATTCGACACTAACAAGGAAACACTGGAGTTTCTGTTCATTTTCTTTCTGTGAATAATTACAACCAGATGATTGTGCAGATGATTCCCCTTTCACAAAACTAAGCTCAGTTAAAGCACTAGTGAGGAGATTTTAGCTGGTTACAAAACAGTCTGAAATGAATACAGATTCCTTTATGTCACCTACAAAAGAAACAAGGACATCACGGACAGATTTGTCACTTTTATTTTGTCTTATAAATGCTCTGAACCACTGCTGTGGGATAAAAGAGTGAATGTAGTGATTAACAACAGCCTGCAAACAAAAACAGCCTTTTCCTTAACATTATTTATTTACACCTTATTATTATCAGGATCAGTTATTACATTGCTTCAGCTGTTTTTCCATTTTTGTGCATAAAAGCTAACATTGATGTCCGGACTACTCTTCTGTCTACTGCCTTGTAAACAGACATTTTCTTGTCTCTCCGAAGGTCTTGGTTACTCTCTCTCTGCCTCCTTTTAAATTGTATGGCTGCAATTCTGAGACACCATCACTACTTAGTAAAGTAATATTAGTTAATACTGCTAACCACGATTACACCTCTGCTGAAGCACTCTGTTAAACTTACTTGGCCTGGAAATGAAATTTATAAAAGCAAAGATCAAAACCCTCTCCTAGTATTGTTGATCAGTTAAATTACTTGATGAATATGTTGGTGTCTCTGATACTGAGAGGGAAAAAAATGCATTAAATGTCTCCAGAATGGGTTGGATTCTGCAGTACAGCTGCATAATCTTGCATGCATCAACACCTTCCTTTACTGGAAATATCAGTGCTTGGAATTATGAGTCAGCGCATGAAGTGAGACACCTACTATGCCTCATAGGTGTTTTTTTTTTTACCTCGGTGGAAAATGTAATACCAGAATTAAACACAAGTCTGGTATTTTATGTGCATATACTAAGAAGAATGATCGCATTTGTTTGCACTTAATGCAACAAAGCCATCAGTAAAGCTCTTGTCATGAAGCAGTTCAATTAATGACATTTAAAAGCTATGTTTAGATCCTGTCTGTGGTCTTCGGGCTACATTGATTTTGCCATTGAAGTTATATATTTTGAAGGACATATTGGTTGAAACTTGAATGTGGGTATTTTTTTTTTAACATTATGAACAGGATTTAGTTTGGCTCTTCTGCCTCCTGTCTGTCTTTTAGGAAAGAGCAGATAGCAGAGCAAAGAGAGTATAAGAAGAAGAAAGCCCAGAAGAAGGTGCAGAGGATGAAGGAGTTGGAGCAAGAACGGGAGGAGCAAAAGTCAAAGTGGCAGCAGTTCAACAACAAAGCTTACTCAAAGAACAAGAAAGGACAGGTACGTTCTGTTCTTATAGACTCTTTTTTTTTTTTTTTTCAAACAGTGCAGCGAAACCTGTTGGTGCATTGTGGTGACAACAAAATTGTTCTGTGCTTGTAATACGTCTATCCTGTGAGAAGGAACCGTGAATGAGTGTATGGTGTGTGTTGACGTTAAAATAATAAACTGGTATTAACTTGTTTTTTCTGTTTTTAGGTAAAGAGAAGCATATTTGCGTCACCAGAAAGCGTAAATGGAAAGGTGGGAGTAGGAACATGTGGTATTGCAGACAAGCCCATGACCCAGTACCATGACACGTCAAAATACAACGTTAGACATCTAATGCCACAATGACCTGATCTATTATGTATATAATAATCCACTGTATACTAGCTGTATCGGTGCTTTCCATTGTGTTGATACATGGTTTAAGTTTCTCAAGTAAAGAAAACTTCGAAAGGAATTGCTTGCAAACCATTGTTTAAAATGTTGATGTAGTTTTCTTATATATTATGTAGGTACAACAACATATATCCAAATGAAGGGCAAGTAGCCCTCTTCAGGAACAACCTGTTGTGTGAGAACAGGAAGTGATGTTGTTGAAAAGCCGTAGAGTGTATTGTTTGTGTCCAGCTTCCACTGAGGCCAAGTACCTGCTAAGATGTGTACTATTAACCATCTGTAGATAGGGTGTGTACATTTCAGGCTGGACTCACAACAGACTCTGAATATTTATATTGATGGTGATTTGAGATGGCTAAATTTACATTTTATTTTCTGTATATATATTCAACAGCGAAATAAACATTGTTTTGTTTTCAGTTGTTTTTTCAAATGAAATTGATTTTACCTTTTGTTCCTGTTTTTTTTTTTCACATTAGAGGCATATTTAGTCTCCGGCTTTGTCCAGACCTGTAGATGGCAGTAAAAACTTGTACCACTGTAAGTCCATCCCTTATATATGCAGCATGCTGAAAATGTTCAGACTGATTTTTCTACTGAAAGTCAATTATCTTCATTTTTTTCACTTTTTCATGGTAAACATTTTTAGATTTTCTTTTTCTTTTCATCAGTGTTTGCTTCGGTGAAGGATGGTTAACAACCACCATACCTTTGTTGATTTGCTGAACAAATTTTGTTGAGTTACAAGAAGAAAAAAAAAACGGACAATGCTGGTTTATGTCTGGGGTGGAAGAGGTTTATTGAGATTTCAGGGACAGTTATCAGGAACTGTTACAAAGTACTAGCAAGGGACCAGCAGCACATGTTTTGCAAAAAAGTCACCTCAGATGGCTGATTGAGCACAGGAGAAAACATTCTGGGGTGTGCTTTGACATACCTTCTTCACACAAGTCTTTTTCATAGTGCATTTTATAGTTTCCCAAAAAAGGTTGGGGGTGAAAAGACCTGTAACAAGGAACTTTGTGCAAGAGTCATAAACCCATGTTAAGACACAATTTGGTGGTAATTACTTGGGACTTGAACCAGAAAAATGCAAATAAATGTCTTATTTGGCTTTGATGGACTTTGACAGGTCAGCAGTGAAATTCTGTGTCAAATATACATTGAATAAAACATGGGAAGTTTAAATCTTCAAATTTCAAGGATTTGAGCTTGTTCTTATCTGCAACAATAAAAAAGAAACAGTATTAAACATTGAATTACAAACAAAAATTGGTATTCTGTAGTGTTTATGTTCATGCTACAGATATTTTTAAGACTTGTCAATCCAAAGCACATTACACTATGATTAGACAAGCTACATTCAACAAACATGCACCATAGCTTTTTTTAAATGTTAAAAATCAATTACAATCATTTTTATTATTAACTACCGGAGCAAGTTCAAAACTAGCAAACAGCAATTTGGTGTTGGAAGGACAAAATAGTGTGCCAAACACAGCCAACATTTGAGATAAAACAAAACTAGATGCGTTATTGCTTGAGCCTTGTGCTTGGACAAGTGCAGGATAGCTTATTTTTAATAAATGGAATTTATACACAGTGTGAAAGATTCGTCATTCTTTCAACAAAACACCATTTTAAATGCTTAAAACTTGTAGCAGTGGGGATTATTTGGTAAACATGTTTTTAAAAATGTGGAGAGAAAAAAACTGCAAAGGTGTTTTTTCATTCAAGCATAACCAAGACCTAGCTACAGAAAACTTAAATATACCAAAATAAATACTATAACCATATGTAAAATAAATTAGGACTAAAGTGGACTTCACCTCCTGTTTGGATACGACTGTTTTTCAGTCAATAGTTTGGAACGCCACCTTATTCATGATGATTGTGGCGCCTTAAGCAGAGGTGATAAAAGTGTAATAAACGTTTTGGAATGCAGACATTGTAGCCCTTGCCACTGACTTGCACACTGACAAGAAGTGCCGTCTGGATATATTATCCAAAGAAAAAGGGCAATGTTTTTACAAGGCAAATGGAGCAAACGTTCCCAATGGTGAGCTTCTAGCTGGTATTGGGTGTGTTTGTGTTTTTGCTGGTTTCAGAGGGTTCAATTGACTAAAGGTTGCATTTTCCCTTCAGTTTTGGAAACTGGTGCATTACGAGTCCTCTACAGGAACAGTTTTGAGTGCAGGTACAGTAAATTCAAGCTGGTATGGGTTAAGAGGTGTTCAGGTGATTGGTTTAGTAACCTCTGAAATGTGGAAACTGTTTATTGCCAGAGAAGTTAAATTTGAGGCTTTTGAACTCAGTGTTTCAAAGTGATGCAAAGGAGCCTGTGGCTCTTGGAAGAAGGAGACATTTTGAACTTTTAGACTGAGTTGGACTTAAGGCTGGTTTATGGGTTGGAGTAGACCTTCGATTTGACTGGTTAAGGAGGGGTTGAGGCTGGTTCTTCTTAAGACAGTTAACTTAAACTGAAGGGGAGAATGAGGCTGAAGGCTGGTACTTTTTGAAAGGTGAAAGCCATTGAGACTGCAGCTGGAGTGAAAGTATAGGCTGGTGGTTTAAGCAGAGAAGGCCAGTTTTAGACTGCAGGTGGAGTAGCCCTCGTCGCTGGCCGAGCTTTGCCGGCTGCTGTGGTCATCCAGGTCACTTGCACCACTGGTGCTTATGCTGTCCATTTCTCCATGGGAGAACTCAGTGCTTTCCACATCAACTTCAATCTCCTCTGCTCAAAAGAAAAACAAGAAAAGTCTTCAGTGATTTTTATCAATCATGCAACTCAAGACTGAGCTTCTATTAATGTTTTTGTTGATAATTCTGGATGAGAACTGAATGCGCAAAACCAAACAAAACCCTCAGATGAATGCTCTGATGTGCACACTGACCTCTGTCAGACTCTGAGCGGTCAGAGTCCATGCGAGAGCCAATGCTGTCCGTACGGACCCGCTCCCTCTCTCCATGAGTCTGCAGCTGGGCTAGCTGCCTCTGAAGGTGCCTCTGCTCCCTCTCTAAAATGTCCAGCTGGTGCTGACTCCTTCGGTCTGTCTCTTCAAGTTTCTGTCAAGAGGGAAAAGCAGAAAGGGTAAATGAGTTGTTTTTATGAATAACATTCACAGATCTATCAGTGTTTGTGGGTTCAGTGTGCCACAGTCGGTGTAACTGTATACTATCTTAGCCATATACTGTTATATGTTACTCTTATGATGACTCCACTTCTGTATATTTACATTCTATATTCATGGAGTTGGGTTAGCCTCTCTCATATGCAGTGATGTAAAGTTAATATGTAGTTGTAGCTGCTGTCAAATGTGACGCCTCCTGAGCCTTGTGATACATTATTCAACACACACAGACGGCGTGTTGCTGGTGGGAATTCATAAGGAATAGCTGCTGTTTCAGAATGGGATGGATAAAAGTGCAAGATCTTGTTTTGCATTTGCTGGAAATTTTGTATTTTTGCCTTCTTGGCTCTTTAAGTTCCCCTAAATTGTCCTTGGATTTTGGTTCATGTGTGGTTAATAGTAGATATAAAGCTTGCAGACTGTAGATTGTTTTCCAAAATGGCTAGATCGCATAAAACTAAAGGTCCAAAGATGCACTTTGAGCTTAAAATACATTTGAATCCTTTCATTTTACACCAGTAACATAATTTGCCAGTGCCAAAAGTAAAATAAGAACTCATACTACTGCAATACCAAAGTCCTAAAAGTCCAACTGTTCCTAAATATATTCAATCAGCTACTGCAACTGTTCCAAACAATTTTCTTGTACATGTAAAAAATTTGACATCTTTTCATTTCAATGTGAATTTTCAAGTATCCATTTGTATGTTTTCCAATCTCTTTCAGCTCTAATGCTTCCTGTATACACTCTCTTATTCCAAAAATAAATCACAGCAGTATCCAGAAGCCACATTTCCTGGACCTCAAACAGGGAAGTCCAAAGTCAAACGCTGACATTACGGGGTGTATTACCCATAACCCCACACTGTGACAAACTCCCACAGACTTTTGCTAGGCTTGTTGCAGCCCTCATTTATCCACTTGCTCCCCACCACTGAAGCACTGAACAGATCATCTCTTTGGGCTCTGACTGCAGCCATCAGGGAAGCTTCAGTGTTGAGTTCTAGATGCTCTGATGCTACAAAATATTTTTTGGATCATCAGTTTCAGAGTCCCTTAAAGGTCACAAAGTAGTCTGTTCAGATTGGTAAATCTAATAGTGCGACAGATCCGGGGCTCAAAGGGATTCGGTAACATTAAGAGTCATTTCAAAGATGCAAGTTCTCCATTAAAGACATACTAGGGCTCAGAATACCACAAAAAGGCAAGGAGACTAAGAAACAGAAAAACCAAAACAACTTAATGAGAACCATCACATCCCCAGTCTGAGGCCAAAGTTCCTGAAGGTGCAGTTTTTGAATGCTTATAAAAATCTTATTGGACAGTACCTGTGAACCCCCCCTCATTTTTGCACTAATGCAATCTTACCAAATCAACTTTAAGCCAGAGAATAAGAGATAATTAAAACCAAACTTGTAGTGGTTAGCTGCATACTGTGCTCTTTTATATTGTAGAAATGGACTTTAGCCTTTCCCATTAAAACACAAGGCAATTAATCCAGACTGTTCTCCTTTTTATCTTGTGTTTCCTATCATGTCAGTTACAGCATAATAGCAAAGTTCAAATCAATTACAGTCCAAATATGTCTAAATATCAAGCTATAGACAGTGGAGCTGCACTGTGAGTTTCTCAGGACATTATCTTAAACAGAACAGCAGCCCAAAGAGTAGAGTGGGGGTCTCCAAGTCTAAGAGACAGAGGTTTACAATGCAGTACAATAAAAAAAACGGACTTGAACAGTTTCTTGTAATTCATCGCTGTTCATCCAAACTGAATCTGATCCAAGTCTGAGACATTGTGCAAAGCAATCGACTTTTCTAACTGATCAAGCTGATCACATTTCTGGAAAGATACATGATAAATTCTGTTTAGCCACTCCAGGTCATAGACATGTAATCATAAACATGTAACTGACTCTGGTAATAATGTTACAGTGGATGAGTTAGACTACCGCACCTTGATGTGTGCTTTGGCCTTGTTGAGCAGTCCCAGTGTGGTGTGCCGACTGCAGTCTGGTCCCAGAGGGATCAGTGACTTCAACCTCTCCAAACACAAGCGGAGATGTGCTCGTCTATGGGGGGGAAGGGACAATGAGGAAGGGTTGTTTCCCCTCATGACTTAAAGAACATGCAGAAGTGTGCGACATAATAAATAATATATTACAGGAAACTTACAAACTAATATATCAGCTTTCTCCCCAACAATCCTAATAGAGTTTAATATTCCCCTGATATTCATTGGTAATCATTTAGACAAACAGTAATTTGATTCGCCCTGATCTATACAAGTGATGCAAATTGTCCTCATTTTGGTATCTGACCCAGTTATCTCACTCCTTAGAAATTGTATATGGATCACTCTGCTCCTAGATCCTGTCTCTGATTCAACAAGGTTTCTGAGCTTGTGGTCAGATGAATGCAGGAAGGGACGCTCACTACTCCCTGAAATAATGGAGGAAAATGTAGGTCAAGTTGTGATGTCATCCCCGCTCTCTGCATTGGCCACCATTTTGAATTAAAATGGTCCAACATGAAGTAGGCCCTCCTCTCAAAGATGCTGTTTTCCAGATCATCTCTTCACACCAAGAGTCTCCCACATGCTTTTCTGTCAAAGACTGATCATTTAATTTTAGAATAAATATGTCCAGCCATTGGTTTCCTGCTCAGAGCAGATGCTGCCTCATCCTGGAGTAATAGACGCAAGCTGCTGTAAGATTTGCAGTGGAGGATATCTCAGGAAGGAGCCCTGTTGTCTGGAAACAGACGGTTCCAATTTGCTGACTGGGGAGATGTCTACATGTCCTCCAGGAACAGTGCTGCCATTGAGGCTGCATCACACCTCCTTTTATTTGCCTTGCAAAATGCACAGTGCTGTAATAAACAAAACAGGAGAGTCCAAGTCGTAGACCTGTGATGACAGTAGTCCTATAAATATGTTGGTACCAGACATTATATTTTGAAGTACTTGATATCTTTAGCAAAGCAGCAAGATATGCAAACTTGACAGCATGGAGAGAGCTGCTGGTTTATCAGCTTGATGCTCCATTTTGAGACAGCTGGCTTTTAAGTCGTGTAAATCCTGTAGAAATGCTCTTTTTTTCTCCCTTCTCTAAGACTTTTGCATGTCAACATTTGAAACTTGACTTGCGGTGCTTGGTGAATCAAAGTTGATTGATGTTACATGAAAGAACTACTCTACCATGACTGCCCTGGTCACTTCTCACTGTCTGCATTGTGTCTTTTTCAATCCCATCATCTGGTCTGAACATTTCAACATTATTAATATAAAAATGCACAGAAATAACTGCTGCAGTCTTAGAGTACTCACCTATTTTTTTCCAGTTCATTGTGTGCTGATCTGTAGAAATCAAATACAGATGAAGAGATTGTTATACCATGATAGAATAATCATCATGTACCTCAAATTAGACTTTTTCATACAGGAAATTTTTTGTGTAACATTAAAGAAGTTTTTATGATCCACAAATACAAATGTAGGACCTGGACTTCTACATTCAGGATACACATACATACCTGTTGTGAATATTGTCTAGTTTTCTGTTCTTGAATTTGCGTTGTTTCTGTTGATGTGCAGTCTGGCCTGCAGGATACGTGGAAGCATAGCCATGCTCACATTCTGGTGATGGGAAGAGATCAAGAGGATTACATAGATTGTACAGATTTTACAAATGTGCTACTGGCAATGGATCTCATGAGTGCTTGGATTTGTATGACAGATGTGACCCTATTTAGCCTGAGTAGTATATAACATTCTAAAAGTTTGACATTCTTTTTACTCAACAATATTTTTATTAGTTTTATACAAAGGAAACATATTACAAACAACCCTGTCTACTGCTGGATATTCCTATTACTGTGCTTAAATAACAAATTCTGGAGCTAGAACAAAAAACATAATAATAATTAAAAATAAGTAGATACTGGAATTCGGGTTTTGTAGATCTTGAAATATATAAGATGTTGAGAAATAAAAAGTAAAAAGAGAATAAGTTAAATGAACTACTGTATTTAAAGAGAAATGCATATGTAGACAAGTCGCTGAGAACTGAAAAAGTCCATAAGAGAGATAAGAATTTAAACTGTATGATTGTAAAACATCACAGATATATATTTCAAAAAGAAAACAACTAGAAGAGGAGAGTGTTAATTCAAAATGATTAATCAATACATATTTTGAATTTAACTTGAAATAACCTACTTAAGTCAGTGCAATAGATTCTTTAAAAATAAACTTAATGCGTTTTTAATATTTTTTGTGATTCACATATGACCTACACCTGCATCTGAGCTGTCTTTTAAAAGCAATATTTTTAAAAAAAGTAATCAGTATTCTCTGTGTACAGAGCCTACAGTTCCCATGAACACTCTATCCCAGTAACATCCGACGTCAGACTCGAACCTAAACGTGATTGGTCGTCTGCGGTGACTCTCGTGCTGGGAACATGTACCCCGACCAACGAAAACTCTACAATTTGTTCCATGTGGAAACCATGTGAACAACACATACAAGGAAGCAGCAGCTGCCTCGGTAAATGATAGGAGGGCTTACATTTGGACCTTTTTTTTATGAGGAAATAAGATTTAAAATGCAGTTACTTCTTCGCTTATACCATATCTTAAAGAGGAGGCCATAATTTGCTGGAATAACCATGAAAATAGTTTCGAAAAACGACGATAAATCAGAAATTGGAGTCTCAAACACCTCAAAATCAAAGCGTATTTATCTAAATGTACATGTGAAACAGTTTTATAAGTATGAATCCACCTGATCATGCCTTTTTGACGTCTTCATGAGACCAGCTTTAATGGGAGCAGATCATTTAGCTGCAGGCTATTGTAATAAAATCGGTCTCCTGCGCTGCAAATGCTGTCTGAATTGAAAATGAGAGCATTTTTTTCCCCTCAACTTCTTAATTAAAAAATATTCCCGCAAATGCATCCTCGATTAGAAAAGAGTTTTTCAGGAGCAGGTTGGATATTATTGGCTGTTGACGGGCCAGTTTCATCTGTCCGCTGCGCGTCTTTTGTCGCCTTCGCCTCTATTGTTGTCTGCTCGGCGCATTACGTGTTAATATCCCCTACAGCCCGTGTTTACTTACTTCCGCTGTTCTTCTCGATATTTTCTATGTAATGCGCCGCATCGAGCAGCACTTGCACGTTCTTCATAAAAGTGCCGATTTGGTCCATTGCGGAACATTTGGAGTATAAAACGTCGCTGAAAGAATAGTCGGACATCTCTCCGAAATCCTGCTGGTCCATGGACGCATCAGACTCCGACAGGACCTCTTCGGGTTTCAGCTCGCTGTGCTGTCGCATGTACTTTACCATTTTCACGTGAGGATATTTTAGGGGGGTTTGACAAATAGGCAGAGCTGAAAAGTGTTCCTCCTTGTCCCGTCTGTGCACTGAGCGGATGACTGAAATGAACTAGGCTCGATGGAATTGCAGTCCTTAGCCTCAGCCACTTGCCCTACTTGGTGGATAATCCCTCCCACTAACGCATGCACATTGCATTCATTGTCAACTGTGCCATAATAAATCCTCATTATCAATACTGCAGGAGAATAACAAATAACACACAATAATGCCTGCTTTCATTTGAAACAATGCAGCTTTATTTAAGAGAGCATAAACTGAGTTATTATGAAAAATAAGCACCATTTTTTTTCATGTGCATACAGTTAGGCTATGTCTGAGCTGAGTAGACTTGAAAAGTGAAATGCATCAAGGCCTCATGGCAGAGGACACAATCAGGTCTTCTAACCACTATAGTATAGGGGACAAAGCGTCTGTGCATTAAAGCCTCAGATGTAGTTCTTGAGGATTTACTATTTTTGCTCCCCTATGCATCCCAAAGTGAGGATTCTTCAGAGACTATGATGAGACTGCAATTTATTCATGATTTTGGAGGCAGTTTGGGCCTATTAGCCTTGATCTTGCTTTTTTCCATCTAGCTTTGTCTCCTCTGGAGTCTCTCTCTTCTCCTCTAGGTGTGCTGTTTAGCTCTCCTCTTCCAAAAAGAGACAATCTAAACTAACTGAGACACAGAGAGAAACCAGTGGAAACACGGTTCATGTGGGAATGGGTTCACATCAGGGGACAACAGAATTTACATGATAGTGAAAATGTCTGCTTGCCTTAAAGTTTTCTTCTCCTTTGTAAAGACTAACCTTGAAATTGAGTTTACTTCTAGCTTGATTCACTTCTGTTGTCCCTTTTGACTGATTAAGAAGTCATTTTTTATCCTCACACTGAGATGGAGGAGGACAGAGGGGAAAGGGTCTGTCTTTACGAGGCCAGCCATGCGTGCAGGGCTGTGTTGTGCCTCTGAGACAATGGGTGCAGATGGCTGGCCCGCTGCAGATGTGGCCAGGCCTGTAACGGACGCCTGTGTGTGAGAGAGAGAGCACACCCTCCCATGGAGTCTATTTCAGCTGCCTGGCAAGGCCTGACAGACAGTGCAGATCAGTGATGGACACTCATGTGAGGAAAAACAGTATTTTTAAAGAGATGCATCATGAAATACTTCGAAGTAAAATTCTGCTTTTGGAACATGTTTTTGTAAGTTTGCAGCTTGATTACGGTTAGAGCAACTTCCTCAAAACACAAAAGTAAAACTCAGATATCTTCTGCTTCCTGTGCTCACCATATATGACAGACAAATAGAGTCAGACATGGAGTGAGAGTTCAGTAGGAGGTGGAGAAAGCTGACAGCTTTTCACTTGAAAATGACTCCCCTATGCTGCAAGGCTCATGTGCAGACTGAGTGACTGTGCGTGCTGCACGCTGATAGCCACAGCGTGGAAAGCTGACCCGCTGTAGGTTGGTGTAGAATGTGACCCCAACTGGAGTAATCTGAAAAGCCTGAGGATTACACCAGTGGCTTGGCTGTCACAGAGGAGGCAAAGTGACAGAGCATGTACGTGTGTGTGTGTGTGTGTGGGAGAGAGAGAGAGAGAATTTGCTTAACATCTCACGCTGGTCACACACATCAGGGAGTATAAAGCATTTTGGAGGCAGTCGCATGTCTTCCATCAAGAGTTATCTCAGTCCATCTATCTGATGCTATCCTCTTACATGCTGTGGTCATTAAGGTGCTGCTCTCAGATGAGGCTTTGTGCAGCAGCAGCGGCCCTCCCCTGTTGTTTTAAAACAATAGATGCACTTTGCCCTGAGGTCACAGCAGAAAGACAGCAGACGTGTGTCACCTGCTCCGTCCTCTCCTTTGCACTGTCAGGGCATGCAGGAGCTCAACTCTAAGCTTTATCATCCACACATTATGAGGAATTGTTTGGGTAGCTAGTGTGGAGGCTGTTTTTTCTTTGCATTTTTAGCCCACTAGAAAGTGAGATAAGTTTTTAATAAGATTGTTGATTATTTCAGTGACAAGCAAAGATGAATTCCCAGGAGTGCTTTTATCTGTGTAACTGCTTTTCTTTATTACCAAGCCAGATGCGTGTTTATTTGTCACTTAAGAAGAAATTGCTTTTTTTTTCTCTCCAGTTTGATCATATTATGTTATAGTAGATGCACGTCTTTAGATTTTGTCTTCTTGTCCTTATGTTATCTCTCAGGAGATATGTGTATTTGTGGTTTGGGGGTGGTGTAGGTGCAGATCCTGTCACTCCCCCAACATGAACACCTGTTGGAGACACCAAATCCCCTCTTTGTCTCCCCAGCCCCCTCTCAGTGGATTACCATGACAACACCCCATTCATATCATGTCTGAAGACTGATTATACAGCTTCACATGGTCAATTATCAGTGAACGGGGTGCATTGTTTTAGGCAGGCACTGCCTCTTCAAAAAGGGAAGGCTGTGTAAACAGTTATCTTGAAGCTTTATTTTATTCTTCAGATGATATGAAGAACGTTGGGACTGACTATAAATAGCAGAGGTTTTACACCACAGCAGAGTTAAAAGTTTCTGCTGAAATGAATTTAATTTAATCATGTCTTAAACATGTCATTATCTGTTATGTTCATATTTCTTTTCTTTATGTATTCTCATCTTGTCTCTATCGCTGGTTGATGATCAGTCTATGTTCTATTTATAACAGTTTGACCAGTTTTGACCTTTTCCTACTCATTGTAGATTTCTAACCTATCTATGTCCTAATCACTTTGTTGTTTGCACCCTATGTCTTCACTGCCCTTATGGGAGTGGAACTCTGTATAAGCCTATCAGCTTCGTTCCCTCCTTGCATTGTTTTTAATCTGTGCTAAATAAATAAATAGAAATAGAAATTCACTACTATTCGCAGTCATCAAAAACACAAAGTTTGAAACTGTATTTGAGTACAGAAAGGAAATGATCCAGTCAATAACCAAGACAGCAATAAAACTGCTCTGGAAGCATATGCCAGCTTTTATTACATCAGAGAAAAGGCAATTTTAAAAGAACCGACTTTGAGAGGAGGAGGAGGCTGTAATGTAAAGCACAACAGAAAAAAAAACCCAGCTACACAAATAGCTATGTAAACAACAGAGGAAACACAAGCACTAAGCACACAGACTACTAAGTATATGCATTTTGTAAACACAATGCACTATGCATTAAGTTTAATTAAAAAATCATAGTAAAAGAAGTGTTAAAATATTGATGTTAGATTGTAATCTCACATTTTATGTTCTTTGTTTAACATTTGGTTTAGTGTAACAAAAGTACTTCACAAAAAAACAAACTTTTTACACTGAGTTCACTCCCTTTGGATCAAAACAAATCATTCACATTATTGACTGGGATGTTCAAATAAAGGTCCTCTAATATACTTTATAACAAACTCTGACTGTAGCTGTAAGGCAGGCTTTCCACTGCGTATTGCCATCAACTTATTATTTGGGCTAAAATAGTCAAAACATCCATAAAACTCAACTTTCATAGATCCCGGCTCGGCACTTTCATCGCCAACATCCAGAAAAAAGTGGTTCTCATTTGTCATTTCTTTGAAAGTCAAACTTTACCACCCATCTACATCACTATGAAAAAACAGCATCACTTTACTGAGCTCTTTCTTGGTCAAGGTCAATTCCTTTTCACAATCACAATAAAGCAGCAACCATGGGAACAATATCACTGACGTAAATGTAAAAACATGAATTATTACTATCTATCACAGAATGTTTAGTATATGAGTTAGTATATTTAGTCTACCAAATCCTTTAGTAATTTATCAAACACTATATTGCAATACGTAGAACATTAACTGACATGTATTATTACCAGATGATATAACTATGGAAAGTTCTGATACAAATCGTACTTCTTCTAAGGCCAAACTTCTTAAAAGTATTAAATGTTCAACCACTCATACACTTCTTATGAGATTGTTCTTTCTTAAAATTGTTAAACCATTCTGTGAGCTTTCAGTATACATTCAATAAGGTAATTGTGCAAAAAAAAAAAGGAAGTATAATCTGCTTTTGTTGTTACCTTCAAAACTTTTCAGTTTTATAACATCCATTTTAAATCCCATTAAAAATATGGGTAATTACCACACCGTCACTGTTTTTAATGGCATCCCGAAGAGCCCGTCAGGAGTGGTCGGTCATTAATTCTTAGGGGAAATATATCCTTTTCACCACCTTAGAAAGATTTTCACTTATAATAATAACTGTGAATGAGGAAAGATGTGTAAAAAGGACAGTCCCGGGAGACATTCTGGTAAAATGATAGTCTTTCTCACTCCCCTTCAACAAGCTGAAATAATCAGATGGAATTCAGGTGGTTTCCTAGCCAAACACTAATTGCTTTTACAGTAAATGCCCTCAGGCTTCAGTTTTTTCCTTCTCCTCCTTCTTCTTCTTGCTCTTCTTGAGGAATGAAGGTGTGCGGAACTTCTTCTTCTTTTTCTTTGGGGACTTGGTTTGGCTCTCTGGGGTCTGAGCTTCCCCTGTCTTCTCATTTGATGTGATTGAGGTTTCCACTGTATCCGAGGTGCTCACGCTCAGCTTGGATACCTCAATACTAAGATCCTCCTCCAGCTCTTCCAAATGGTCTTTCCCATTGGGAATTACATCTGTCAACAGATGAAACCAAGTCAGTGAAGGGGGGATGTGGTGAAGACATGCAGTCAGACAGGCAGAGATGTAATAATACATTTCAGTATTAGTTTCATTAGAGATCTCCGCTGTCTTTTACACATTACACCACAGGGACATCAAACACAGAAACAAACAAGCCGCTCATTTTAACACTTAATAATTTCAGTGCTAATTACCGTGCTTAGCTGGCGTCATTATGGGAGAGAGGGAAAGGGAAATAGTGGAGCCATCAAATGTTGTCATCTCATCTGCATCTGTGGCATCGTCATCCTCTGTGAAAGGATGAAAGACAACAGAGGTCGTTTCATAAAGCCTGTATGTTCATATGAGTGACCTGCATGATATGAACCAATTTCAACCACCGGGGGTTTGTGTTATTTCATTGTTCACGCAGACAAATAGACTCGACCCTTCACTATGATTTGTCCTTCATCATCAGGACACGCCGGCCCTTGATGACCACTCTTCATCTGATTGAGCGTTTTGAATTGGCATCAGAGCTCATCAGTGAGACAAGTCCCTGTGCAATTCTCTGTCCACACAAAGAGAATCAGAACAGAACAGAAGAAACTGTGCAAAAATATACTCAATACTATGCTGTTCTTTACCACAGCATTTACCCGTCTTCCTCTAAAGTGAGGGCCTATGACGCAATCACAACTTGCAACTTTTACACATACTCTGGATTAATACAGTAAAAGCTATGATTTGGAGCAACGCAAGTGTTAGGTTAAAATGTTATGACAAAGTGGTTTATTTATCCCTAGCCCTAGGTTTTCAGAAACAAGAACTGACTACCGCCACCTGCTGGTATTGTCAGACATTTCCCTGTCCCTGTAGTCTCTGCACAGCGTTTATTGCTGCATTTAAGCCCAAGGGTGCCATGAGACTACACTAACATCAACCTACATCTTTTAGCTCTCTGATGATGGATCTTAGGGTAAAGAGTTCTCAGTTGTACCAGCGGCTATGTGAGGTCATCCATCACAGCACGATGGTGCATTGAGCTTGATATTAGAATCAATATCTTTACATCTTCAAACAATGATGCTAATTCTCACACTCTTAACCCTTTATTGCCTTTTGTATCATATTTGATACATACTTTTATGATACCTTTATCAATCAATATGATCAACAAATAACTAAAAAACACACCTTAATACAGTCCGATAAATGATAAAAATATCCTGTTATGGTTTATCAGTTTCGAAAAGCATCTAACGTATCAAACGAGATAAATTAACATATTAGTCAAATTTTAAGGACATTTTGATTTTTTTGGTTTTCAGTAGTAATAATTCAGTAAAATAAACATTTCAGCTCCAAAAACTTTGAATTTTCTCGCCATAATTTGTGGTTTCTGGCATTATAGGGTTAAAGGGATATTCCGGTGTACAATTAAGTTAGGGTCAAACACACCATAACACAGAGTTAGACACCCCGTCGAGAGATGAATGTTGCCAATCGCTTGCTTCTCTAGTTATACCAACTTTAGTAACGACCGCAGGATAGCAATACACAGCGCTTTCAGGAGCCACGTGCACACCTCAACCAAAACGCCACTCTATAGCCACAAATAATGCTCAGAACAGCACCTAACTTCATCAACAGTACATATAGGGTCCTAGCCACAGTACTAGCCACCAAACATCTTTTTTAACTTTGCCTGATTTCTTTAGCAAAGAGACTAAACACAACTCACCCATTCTCTTCTATCTCAGTGTTATGGTGTGTTTGACCCTAACATAATTTTACGCCGGAATGTCCCTTTAAGCTAAATGGGATTGTAATTACTCATTCTTATTTGCGAGGTATATAATAATCGGCTAAATAATCACCAAAGTTTTCACACTTCATCCTTAGGCAGACATAAAATGCTGTAAACAAGATTTATGGTAATCAATTTAATAGTTGTCGAGGCATTTTACTCTCAAGGAAAAGGTCAGGAGGTCAACTACACACTGTCAACTTTAAACAGAGTCCATTGATTAGTCAAAATGATATTCCAGTTCTGATCAAAATTGTTGGACCTATCAAACAACCAACCACCTTTGCCCTTACTGAGCCCAAGAAACGAGCATGGCATTTAAAAAACCAACACCAATGGAGCAGGCTTGTCATGGACACAGTGTTGTGACAGTGGCAAACAAAGGTGCTACTCTCATACGCAGCAGCAGCAGAGATGTTTCCCTCCTACACGCACTTTTTGTCCTTGCCTACAGTCATAACAGACATGAGTAGGTTGACAACACTGATGTCTTTGCGGCTCATCTCTCACCATCCCTGTGAACTGACATCACAACACAGAGGGAGAGTGAAACCATGAACTGACATTTTTATGCTGCTGGCGTTAGTTTTAGCGAATCCTTATTTCACTGAAAGTAGTAACAGTGTTTCCTCTGGGCAAGAACCCAGCGCTCTGATTTACCGCCTGATGACAATGTTTTTAAATGAAGGGAATTAGTACAGCAAACTTTTGGAAATATAAAACCACAACATGAGCATCTACCCGAGTAATTATCAGCAAATTGCTGTGGTTCTAATTCATGCTGTTATATCTGAGATGCTTTTTTTCTTCATTTAAAAACCAAACAAGTTAATTTGAATTGATAATTCTTAACAAATGAGCATCACTGGGTCGAAGACTCTATTTTTAATGATGTCTTTTCCCCTTTCCTTGATATTCTAAAATTGCTGCTTGACCGTGAGATTAACATTGCATCTTTAACTTTATTTTCATCATGACCTTACTGGCAGCAAAGTATTAATTCGACATTCCACAGAGAATGACATCTAAGACAGATTAAACTAAGGCAAGATTTTGTATTCAACTCTTGCTCAGATAACATTGAAAAAGTACCAGTTCCAGGTTCTGCCCATATCAAAAAAGATGGTTCAGTGTTGGGCTGTACCATGCTTTAGGGATCAGATAAATTACTCCAGAACACGATGCATTAAAGATAGACTACCTTCTTGGCCTTGTTGCTTCTTTTCTACAGTGTTCTTGTACTCCTCCAGCTCCTTATCTGTCAGATCGTTGAAAGGGTTGGGGGGAAGAGAGCGAGTATACTCCTCATCTTCGTCGATGAAAGCCTTATTGAAAGAAAGACACGTACATTAATGCACACATTCTACAGGAAATAATGGTAGATAAGTGAATGATCCTTTATGTGAGATGTCTCTAAGAGATTATTCCACTAATTTTAAACCTGTAGCAGTGTTTTTTAAAATGTAACATTGGGATAAAAAAGGCATTGTGTATAAATAGTGACATATTTAAAATTATAAGGTGTGATTGGCTGTTTACTAAAGGTGTCCTAGCACTCACCGGTCCTGGTATGGTGTCCACAACGATTCCTGATAGTAACTGTGATTTTGGTCCTGGGGTCATCTGCTCGCCTCTGTGCTGTTCTTTTATCTGGACAAAGGATCAAACAAAATCATATTAACTCTGAACCTTGAATCCTCGTTTTACACGTGATATTTTCAAAGCATGATAAAGCTGCTGATCAGACATAATTTCACACATACTGAGTGAGATCAATCCATCAGCTTTAGGCAAGATTAAATGTCATAGAGATTGTATATGTTGAAAAGTACAGTTTACATGTTATTCTGTTTTTTTAAAATCAGTTTTAATTTCAGAGTTTTGTCCTTCATTTTCCAATACCAGCTTTTATCTCCTTTCTGTACAGGCGGTAAGAGTCAGTTTTTTGTGCACAAACAGGATATTGTTAAGATGTTTTCACTGACCCGGTTCCTCTTGTTCAAAACCTCTGAAGGATTAGTGTTCAGAGGGACAAACTGGTTGGGATCTTCAATCTTAATAGGTGTGCCGGTGCTGTTGCCTGGCTCCGAGGACTTCATCCACTAAACAAAAAATTAAAGAAAACAAATTCATGAGTAAAAACTGGTAGATTAAAAAAAAAAAATGCCTTTTTCAAACCGACCACAAGAGGGCAGGCTTATAAAGAGCAACATGAGCTCTAAATATTACAGGTACCTACACAAACCATAACAGTCAGGATGAAAAAGTTGCATGTCTTGTTGCAGTAGTTTGATATGAAAATGGTTGTACCATGGTCTTGGTCCTGGGACTGACATCCCCACTCAGTGACTGTTCAGGAACATTGACTCTCAAATAGCTGTTGGGTGAATTGAGCCATCGGGTCCTTTCTCTCTGCTGTTTCTGGGCCATAAACTTGAAGGGGCTGCGCAGGCCGAGTTCACAGTCCTCTATTGACACTGCAGACACTGTTGCAGGGATCTCCACGTCGTTCTTTGAACGGGGCTTTTCCCGGACAATGGGGTTCCTGTATGAGTGACCTGTTCTGTATCCCTGGAAGGTCACAAGGAGGAGAAACATTATTCCAACTCGCTAAACAGTTTTCTTTTGCAAGAGGTCAGTTTTCTCTTTAAGTCCTCTAAATAAGGAACATCAAGCATAAATGCTTCAACATTCGCAGGGCCACCCAAGATTCACTGACACAATGCTTCTAAATATTTAACCACTGCTGTATATACAAACAGCCTTTTTGCAGATGTGCCCAGTTTTAGAGGGAAGACATAAAACACTGACTTAAAAGACTCTGTTGTTAACAATACATCACAGAAAACTGATGGGAACTTGCAGCATGAGCAGAGTGCAGTCTGAAGCCCACAGTACGACAGCAAAAAAGGAAAATCAAAACTGGCATTTCCTTGCAGGCTATATGACAAGTTTTCCTCTGAAAAAACTCTCTCTGTTGGGCTTTGATTCCTGCAGTGTGAGCAAGTCCTTGTTATTTCCACTGGGATCTTCCCTTTAGAAAGTTCTCACATTGAAGAGTGTTATGCGATATTTTGTACTTTTTGAGTATAGGCCTGATCAACTTGTACACTATTCAGGAATTGAGGAATCAATTAGTATCTTAAACCATTTTCCAGGTAGACTAGATAAGGAAAACATGACTAGTTAAACATGCACAAGCTTCTCTAATCATTTAGTTTGGACCTGCACCAGTTGTAGCATTTAAATACATTTAAGCACCGGCATTTCATCTCTTTATCCATTTAATGTTTTTGAATGAGAAATATTTTAATACTGTTGTTAGGGGTGTCCCGATACAACTTTTTTACTTTTTACAAACTTTTTTTGTACCCTTCAGTACTGGCCGATACCAGTATTGATCCGATATTGGCACTAACTTGTGCATGACAAGTTTTGCACTCAGCTGCAACGTCTTTTTTGGAGTTTAATGAAAAATACTGCCACACGGCAGATATCACTCCTACTCCTTGCTACTTTGTTTGTACCTTAGTACAAACTGTTGTTGTGATCACATGGCCTGTGCATGCTGGATCAGGGTGCTGCTAGAGGTGCTAGAGCTGCGTCTGAAATGGACTGCTTGTATCAGAGTGCTGATAATGGAGATTTTGGATGCAGGCCGATATAATCTGATATTCTTTTTTTTTTTTTTCTGATATCGGACCGATATCCGAACATTTTGCACCTTAATCTCTCCTCTGCTCTAAGATTTCACTTTGGGATGATTTTTGGATGAGATTTTGATCTCACGACCTGAAAACTCCACCCTCTGTCATGGACTAACACGCCTCCTGTTGCAGTGAGTGTACTGGTATTTGCACTCAGCACCAAGTCTGAGAAAAGGCCAAATCCAATTTTCAAATTGAGTGCAGCAGACTCCTTCCGCTCAGTGTGGTCTGTGCGGCTGTAACTGCCCACAGCATGTCGCACCATCTGGAAGCTATGATTGAGAGGGTGGGCGGGCTATGATCACACACAGCTAACGCAGCTGCAGCCCACTCCAGCCACACTTGTTAGCATGAAGCGCACTCAAATAGACACAGTCTGACATCTTGTGTTTCCACAGAACATGTCAGGGCCTGGTCATTAGCAGTGTGGTTAGAATGGTGGGGTTTCTGCTGGCAGAGGTAGTGTGCTACACAATACAACTTCAGTATATTCAGGGTTTAAACTCGACCAGCAGACAGCACATTACCCGCAGGTGGAATAAAAAAAAAAAAAACTGATCACATGCAAACATTTACATGATTGTCCTACTGAAAAATGTTCTCACAGTGACAGCCAAGGCACAAAGATATGATTCAATGACATAGATCAGATGAACAAAATCAAATCTACTTTCATTGTATTCTCTTATCAGACACTTCCCGAGGAAGGGCCAGAGACAGGAAACTCAGAGCATCATGGGTAAAAGCAAAAGGTCAGGGTTCACTCACCAGGTTGTCCAGCATCCTCATTAGGGACTCGAACTCGGCCTCCCCTACTTTCCACTTGACCTCATTGTCTATCACCACCCCGGAAGTGGCCGCTCCCTGAGTCCGCAGTTTGAACTTCTCCTTATCAAGAAGCACAAAGCTGTCCAGGTCTGCTGAACAGCTCAAAGCATTCACCTAAACAAAGACGTGTGATAAGAAGAATCATTTTGTTTGATTTGGGATGTTGACTGTTGGACATAGAAGTCAGAGTAATATTCTGTCACCGAATATTTTCCTTATTTCATTACAGTTCTGCATTTCAGGACAGACCTTCACAGATGAGGATACATGATTTCTCTTTCAAGTGCAGACTTTTCATTTCAATCTTTTTTTTTATTTGTCAACCAAGAGGTAAATATGAAGCAAAAATAACCAGAAAACAAATCCAGACGCAGCAGGAATATAGTGTATAAAAAAACAACAACAGCCTCTCAAACACAAAACAACAGGTGTCTCAGGAACACTGCAGGGTTCCACCTGGCTCTAACTGTGAGCTATGCTCTCCAGCACATATTTGACTAAGCTTTGTTCAAACATACTGTACGTTCCACACCAGCTTTTCTCCTATTTCAGGCACTGCTGTAATATTTTGTTATTCCCAACCAAGTGGCTGGCTCCTTTACAGAAGGAGTGAAAACATTTTGACAGGTGAAACGATAAAAACCATGAAATAATTTCAACACATGCAGTCAGCAAAGTAACTCAAGGCCGAATCCAAGTTTTCAAAAAGCTCAGAGATGAATGGTATAATTATGTTTGACTATGACATTATAGTTTGAAGACCAGAGATCAAGCTTTTTACCTGTATTTCACACGCTTGCTGTGAGTGGTAAACATAGTGAAAAGCCTCTTCGACTGTTTCTCCCAGCGCCAGCAGCCCGTGGTTTCTAAGAATCATCACCTGAAAAAAAAAACAAGGAATAATTCACTTACCCACCATTAACACTATAATACACATTCAGCTTCGTCTATACATTAGGATACAAAGACATGCAAATTTGCATGAATTAAAGTGTGCATTTGAATAGTGAATATCCCTTTATCAACACATAACAGACAGTGCTAATAGTCGACCAATTATGTTTTTTTTATGGCAGTTTCAAATTCAAATAATGAGAAAGGGGGGTTGGTTGATATAGATAGCTAAAATATAATAATACTGATATCATCTCAACATTTTATTTTCATTTTTGCACAGAAAAAAAGTGCTGAGCTTGAGTCAGATGGAGTTAGATAATTAAATACAGTGGTTAAAATAATAAAAATAAATAAATATATATATATATATATATACAATAATAACGTCAATTATTCCAAGCACATTAAAATGTAATATATGTGAATACCTTAGGCAGTAACATATAGATTAATTTTTAAAGAACTGGTTAATAAGGGTAATACATTGGGATATACTTTATGTTGCAGAGCATAGCTGGTACCAACTGTAATTTATTCAATTTGATCAAACCAGGAAAGAATAATTGAGAGAAAAAATCTGTTTTGGCCAAGAATTGCAGCAGAAAGTTCCCACAAGTTACATTAAATTGCATAATAATTGAAATACTACATATCAACATTTTCCTAATGAAAAAACAGAAAGTCATCTTTTGAAGTATTTACAGCCTGATTTCAACCTGCTTTGAAACAAGTTTAGAGAGACCACCTGCCTCAAGCCTGGGTTTTTTTCCATATATCATTACCAAATTTACACTTACCACCAGCTGGTGACTGTATTTCATTTGATATTCTGTCATTGGGGATTAGAATAACGGGTGTTTAAAAGATCTTTGTGATATCTGCCTATTAAGGGCCCATGCAGATGTGATGCAGGGGGTTATCACAAAACACTGTCTGTTAATCAGTCTGTCTCTGGACAATTTAGATGACAATACCACATCTGCATCATTAAGCAAAAATCTACCATGGAGTAAAATGTACTATGATATATGCAATTCAGATCACTTTCTCTATATAATTACTGAATTTAAAAACAGGACTGTCTCACTAACTGAAAATATGGGAATTATGAGTTACATTCAGAGTGTTGGCAGCGTTGGGTGCCAATTTTTACAAAATTATTTTGGGCAGCAGATGGAATTTTTTTTTCAAACTTCCAATGTAATAATCTCATTTCCTTCTGGTGGAGGATGAGAAGATGAGTGACGATGTTATTTTTGTCCAATAACAAGAAAACCTATACTCAGCTGAGCTTGGCACAGAAGCGGCTAGATGTTGTATTAATAGACTCTATAAAACATGTACAGTCTCAGTGACATCATGCTTTCCTTTCTGAAGTGGAGTTTTGAAGCCCGACGACAGCAGTGTGCTCGTACTTGAAATGATGGCTCGACCTATGTTTGGGTTGACCTAGTGTTTCTGCAAGAGGCAGCGATGTTGGAGTCGAGGGAGGTCAGCCTCAAGTGGACACTGAGTTTTTGCAGTTTTTATAGAACTTCCCTTTTGGCTTCACACAAGGATCTCTCGTAATTTGTTATCTATATACATGTCAGTGGTTGCAGTAAGACAGTTTAATTCTAAGTTATTATGTAGCTTTAGACTGGATAGGATAAGAGCAATGACCAAAGTTCGACATAACTCACTTCTGTTTATTATTGCTGGTTTAAAACTTATTCAACTGAACTCAACATGCAGGAATAATCCCATGTTGGTTGCTTGTTGTTCATATCATCATAACAAAGTTCCGTCTTTCTAACCGCTTTTTTCTAACCACTCTATCCCTTGAGAAAGTGAGCCTATCATTAATGGAGTCCCTCGGTTTGACAGTACCTTGGCAGTAGGGCCCAGAGCTTTCTGAAACTCCACCTTCTCCTCTTTATTATCCAGGCTGCCATGGTAACCAAAGCTGCTCACATCTCCCAGAAGCAAAGCCTCCTGGGAAATGGGCAGGATTCCACATTTCATGGAGGACACCTGTTAACATGGGATGGAAACAAGTAAGACTTTGACACATCAACATCTAAAAAAAAAAAGGCACATTTCTGCTGTCGGGCACCAATAAAAGTTAACACAGCAACATTCATCACATGCTGTGCATTTTACAGCTTGGCTTCAAAGGAAATGGTACAGTCCATCACAGAGTGTCTGCATCAAAATTAACGAGGCTTGCAGGGGGGGGCCGCTTTTAATTCTCCTCTTTCCCTCTGATGTGAATGAGAGTTTAGCAGCAGCCTTTATCTTTTGATTTAGATACGGCTCATTTCACATCGGTCCAGAGTGTACTTACAGCAGCTGTCGCAGGGGTGTGTATGTGGATGATGCATCTCACATCGGGACGCATTGAGTAAATGGCAGCATGAGAAGCAAATCCAAAGTGGTCGATACCCAGATCAGTAGATCCCTGGTCCACCACCTCACCAACAATGTTTACTTTTACCTACATAGAACAGAGAACAGGAATGAGCAAATTATGAACTTTTAGGATTATACCATTGTGAGATCCTTTAACTTTTATTATGCATAAACAATGTCTTGTTTACTTAACTTAATTCCTTGCAAAATTCAAACAGTGTGTTTGCCTTAGAGGTAAAAGGCCTCAGGGATACACAAAGTGAAACCCTGCGAAACATTTTCACAACTGGTTGTTTTATAGATACTTTTAAAAGTTGCATTGTTTGTTTCACCAGCTCACTACTGCTGTTTCTTTTAGCTGTGAAATCTGTATTCTGTCATAAACATGCCCGTGTGTGTGTGGATATAACTCTTATTACACATGCATGTCATGACAATAAATCTGAAATACACACATGGAAAACATGCTGCACATAAGATAGGTACTAAAAGTTGAAAATTCCACTGAGTATATTTGAGGCTAAAAAGGGATTAAATTTTACACAAGACATAGCTGTAGGATATAAGATGATATAGTTTGCTTAAAGGCAATAGCCAGTCAAATATTTGCTTGAGGTATATGTGCAGTGTATTTATGATAAACTTGTTCTAATACTGCCAACAGAGAAACCCAGGATCCTGTATAAAATGCTGAAGAACACAGACCTGAATTGTCACTGATCCACACACACTTCTGTTTTAGATCAACATAACATTTGTTACCGGGGATTTTTCATGTGAATTTAAGTTAGTCTAAATCATATCAGCAATGATTTGTACAGAATGCAAGACGTCAGGTGTGAGTGGCAGCACTGTTGTTATCATACATAGAGGGTAATGCGTTTTTCTGCAACGAGATGTAATCAAAATGTCGTCAATGCTCACGATTCAAGAAAGCAAACACACACAAATATAGTTCTTACCAAGTTTGCTGCAGTCACTTCAGCAAAAGAGAGACCTCGCGGTCCAATGAGAACATGATCCTGCTCTTTATTGACTCGCACCTGGACACAATAAACATAACATTATGCAATCATTCAGATAATTTGTTGCGTGTTTGAGCTCTTACAGCAGATCCTAGGTTTGAGATGAACCAGCATCTCTGACCCTAATGATGCCCTTGCAGGAGTGATTTCCCATAAGTATATACTTGTCAGGGTCAAAAAGTCTGTTTAAAGGCATTGACTCCACAGGAGAGCAAATCTTTCCACTCCCACAAAAGTTCTTTCAGCTGGGTTAGCAGCCACTCAGAGCAAGGAGACTCATTTTCACAAGTTCCAAGGGTAGAGAAAACTTTAAACCACAGAGGAGAGATGTCTTCATTCGAAAAAAAAAAACTCCAGAATCAGTGTGAAGGTTGATAAAACCAACTTTTTATACTTTGTCTTTGGGGAAAATCTCGGTTTTACATCTTGACATCGCAGGTGTTCATCACATACTTCAGTGTGGATGCCTGCTGTTGGGGAGTTGTTCATATTCACAAATCTTACTTTCCAATGCCATAAATAATATAAACAGCCTCTGAAAATGAAGCAGTACTCCCCTTTAAGCCATCCATGGGAACACAAGGATACACAAACCTTGGGCGGCATACATAAGCAGATGTGCACTGGAGCGAGATGGTGAAGTTGTACTCACAGTAATGTAGGAGCTTGTAAAACGAGCCCAGCTGAAGAGGTCAACAAGCCTGTAGAGGCTGGCCAGCTTGCAGCGACTCTGTTTCTCTCCTTTTGCGAAGGAAGGCGACTCGATGCCATACAAGTCGTTGACTGGAGTAACCATCCCAATGCCTGTCACAAGACATAACATCATCAGTAGCTTGTAATGCAGCAACAACATCAAAATTGTCCTCGGGGATTTGAATCTCCACAGCTGGAGTTTAAAAAGGTTTCTTCAAATTCCCATGAAGAAACCGAGGGGTATTTTTGGCTGTCACCATATAAGGGCATTCAAAAACACAAGACCCCATCTTTTAAGGCCACTTAAGCTTTGTAAAAGAACAAGTCTCCCCCTGCAACTCTGGAGCCATTTCGTTTAAGCGGTTTTCACGGTCAAACTTCTAAAAATTGAATCTTTTCGGTTCAAGGATGCTCCATGACCTTCCCAGAAACACGAGGCAAAGCGATTACGCTAACATAATTAGTATTACAAACTGCTCCGATTCATTACCAGGACTGATCATGGGGGCTGCTTAATCGAAACACTGTTGATAAAGACTGCTGTCAACAGCAGTTTCATGGTCGTCCACTGTCACAAGAGTCTGAGAAATCAGCCTGTGACAATGAAGATATTCAGCCTGTAATGGGAGGGGATACACACTGAACGACCATCAGGTCTGAAAACCAGATAGATAGAAACATTCACACACAATAACAATGAAGCACACAGACACTCACTGATAGGAGATGTCAAGGGTCCTGCCCCACCCACAGTGCTGGCCATGACCAGGTCAGCGATCTGTCTCAGAGCCAAGAGACCTGTGGGAGTGTTGCCCTTTGTCAGCTGATCCTGAATCAGTCCTTCCAGCTCATCTTTAAACACCTGCAGACAAAAACAATCCTCTTTAAAAAGGGTACTGTGGAATGAGAACTAAGTAAGGACAAGCAGAGGGAATACAAACACCATCATTAAACCTCATTAACCGAGCAACTCTTTTATACCCAACCTAATCTTTACCTCATTCCAGCACATACTCTGGAAGTCTCAGGGAGCACAGTCAGTACGCTTTTTCTTATTGGGACTGTACACAGATCACAAAAGACCTCTTAAAACTTCTTTGTACGCCTGTGGGAAGGGGGGTTCACGAGAGGCAGGGGGTTTGCATTAAACCTGACTATCAATTTTTGCCTTCAAGGGCAGCCTGTGAATCTTGAAACAGCACTTTTTCTGTGTGCTGAAGCTAAGCTCCAGCATTCTGCTTCATCCGACCACCGTTCCCATGGTGATGCTATGAGCTCCACTTGTTTGGCCTGTTATGCAATCACAGATGAGTGTGGGCTCGACTTATTTCCATGCTCTCCATTGGCATTATGTGTTTATCGCACCACCTTATACTTCTCATTATACCAGACCGCGCTGCCCTGTTTATCATCCATTTGGTTTATATCATACAGGAATGATACTAACCACCTAATATACTTCTTATGTGTTATCCCCAAGGGTATGGAATATCTGGGAAACATGCAATGCAAGTTCCCTTAGCAAAAATGTGGTATTATTGTGCAAGACACACATAATCTGATTATAGCATTAAAAACTTGTAGACTATTGCTTTCATTGTAATACAATTATTTGATGTTTTGACAATATTATCACTATGAAGTCATGCCAATAACAGGGAACAACAATTATCAATGCCAGAAGAAGCAGAGAGTGCCTAACACTAAAGTATTAAAATCACTTTTTAATCTTTAACCCCATGTACAAAGGCTGCTGTTTTTGTTGAACTGGTTTCAGGTTCAGACCCAAACCGGTCCCTATCACTCTTCAATATTTTCCTTTCTCTGTCTTGAGCTGTCCCATCAAATAAAGCTAAAAGCACAAATATATTAAAACAAGTAAATAACAGTGTTTTAGATGGATTTTCCCTGATGGATTTCAGCAAGTCAGGAAATCTTAATGCTGCTTTTTCTTTCACGACACAGCATCAACCAGATTTGCCACCCAAGTTGAGGTTTTTGATCTATTAGCTGCAAAATTCACTTTTAAGACTTATGTTTATAGGGATGAATACATCAATGCCAGATTACCGCTGGAGGGGTATCATTACAGCTGATTGGATTGCCTTTTCGTGTAGGCTGTTTTTCCTGCAAACGCCAATGCCTGCTGATATGCAACAGGTCGATACTACTTAGACTACAAACTTGTAACAGACAAAACCCAGATACTACTGAGTGCAGATTCTACATTTCTACACAGAAGAGATAGGATACCTTCCAGTGTTTTTACCTTGGTTAGTATATTTGTGATCATTTATAAATTGTTCATTTGTCCACTAGTACCTCAGAAAATAATCTCTTCAACTTTCTCTTTCTTAGTTTCAACAGTCTAAACATAACATTTTCTGTTGCAGTTAGGAAATGTGAACAGATTCCATTTTAGCAGTGTGCCTCTAATCATTTTGTTGGACGCCGACTCAGTGCCAGCGTCTAAAGTCACGAAAAGAAGTTTACAGAAGTGGTCTATCGACTTCCTGATGGTCTTGTTTGCTTTTGTGGATAATTTGGAAGCATCAATATTCATCTCAGTCTGTTTTGAAACCAGCAAAAACTCCTCATAGAAGATTTTGACTGTGATAATGCTGTTGAGGCCACTAAGAGGAGAAAACTGCTACATACAAAACATACTTAGAGGTGTTTATCAGTGTTTCTAGTAAATTTCAATATAGTTTCAGCTACAAACAGAAAACTCTTCACAAGTGAAAAAGTAGAAGATAAGCTCATATAGAAAACCCTATATCTTGAGTAAAGTAGTGTGCATGGAATGACCTCCTACATGTAAACAAGAATAAAACATGCATTTCAGTCAGTCTTGAGTGGAGGTAAAGTATTCCTCTGTGGTTCTTTTTATTACTCATACACTCTGAAAGCTTGCGTGTAGGAGTGTACTTATGCAGAGCTGCGGGCAACCTACCGGACTCTGCAGGATCTGGGTGACCCTCTTCTTCTGCTCCATCATGTTGAAGTCCTGCCTCAGGTCAGGCGACATGTTCCTACTACGGAGATACTCCGGGTCACTCTCGTCCACGCGGTCAAAGTAGCGCTCTTTGGAGTCGTTGCTGGACAGGGACAGGGTTAGAGACCCTACTGTCTGTCTCACGTCCACCAGACTCATGTTGTCACTGCACAGCCTCCCACACACCCTGTGGAATCTGTAAAGAGAGGATAAAACATCAAGGCTCATTTTGAATTCAGGCTGTCAAGGCAACGGGTGTTGTTTTAACAGAAAAGACAGTGCTGGGGTGCAATGGTGACTCATGTAATTAGGGGGATGGAGTGAGGAGAACATTGTTATATGATTGATGCTGCATTGTAAATACAGTGTTGTGTGCAAAAAGGCTGAGTTAGTCACAGCTACTGCCATCATAATGGAGACATTTCTATATAAGTTAGGGCTGGGTGATATGGGAAAAAATGATCCTAATACATTTTTTGCATATCAGTCGATATCACAATATAAAAAATGAAATTTAACAGTGCTTATTTGTAGCATGTCTTTTACAATACAATAAGCTACTGCATCTGTGAGGTCTTTGTGTATCTTCAGCGTTTTGTCTGAAGGTGTTGCGCTAGAGAAAGCGGACTGAATGGTCGGCTGTTTCGGCTGCACAGGCGCCATGGGCTCCTTGCTCTGCTCGGGGTTTGTAACCTTTTGCATTTTGCGTGCTCCGGTGCGTGGCACTTCTTCAGGTGGTGAAAAAGATTTGAGGTATTCCCCGACTTTGCGAGAACATGTACTCAACATAATTTACAGTGCACATTGCTGTGCTTCATGTCTGACTTTAAAAAAACAAAATACCTCTACCCAACCGACGTTTTCATACCAGCGTTGTCGACGATGTCATCATCTGTTGAGCCTTCACCTGCCTGTCTGCTGGGGGTAGCACTAATTTTCTTTCTTTCTCACCTACAGTGCTGTCGGCTTCACATGCTATGGTTGCATGTAGTCTGCTAATATGCAGTTGTTTGCCACTTGGTTCTAATTCAGCTCATGATTGGTTTGAAGCGAAGCCAGAGCAACTCCCCTTTTCATTGGCTATTCTTATAGTCTAGCAAAACCATAGACAAAGACTATGACCAAAACATGGCAGAATGCCAGTTACCAAATAGGATATTGACCATGTTTTATATTGACATTGAGGGAGATTAATTGTCGATATATATCAGTTTATCGCCCAGCCCTAATATAAGTAAATACAATTTATTAACAATAAATATACTCTGAGTTCACAATCCCAACATCTCTCATTTTAATGGCATTTTCTGTCACTTGGGGAGTATTTAGAGTTCACTCTGTCTTTCTTTTCCACACTGAATTGGAGACAGACTAATAAAGTGTGACAACAGCCGGAAGCCACAAAACTTTGTCAACAGTAAACAAAGGTTATCCACATGCAAATGAGCTCATTTGAATAGGAGCTCGCACCTTTGAACGGCCGTGTTACCTGAACGTGGGGGTGGTGGGGAACAACAGGACACAGTACTGGGTCTACTAAACATTTAACCGGGAAATGAAATTCTCTGATTCAACCAAACTAAGATTACGCTTTTACCTCCATTTTATATCCAGCCTGTTATCTAGAGAACTGCTTGAAAAAAATGGCATCGAATTACAACTTGAAACCATTATTACCACGCAGAGAAAGGCAGAAGGAGGCACATCGAAGCTACACACTCCAACTCCTCCAAACTAACACAAAGCAAACACACAATCCCACGGGAAGAAAAACAATACTGTTACTGCAAGTTGAAATTTACCTGAAACAAAGTGTCCAGTTCGTCAACTAACTCCCCCCAGACGATTAGCTGTCGACTTTTCCCCGAAACAGCCTGCAGAAACGTAGAGTATAAGCAAACCCAGGCGGATGTTATTCCTGCTCTGAAAACATTTTGTAAGGGAAAGAAAAAGCTCACAGGGCGCAACTTGATGCTGCTACAGTATCCAGACGGAGCAGGCTGCCCGCTGCGAGTAAGTAGTGAGTTGAAGAAGAGTGAAGAGAGGCAGCATGGAGGAGGATGTGGGTGTGTTTGTGTGGGAAAAAGGAAAAGTGACCATGTGACTTCACTCATCCACCCACTAGGCCGTATGCATGCAGCGGGACAAAGGAATGGCCACTCAGGATCTGCTCAGCTTTTTTTAGGCTCTCCTTTTGGGAGCTCGTAAAGTAGCACCCCTCATTTTAACAGTACCACACTCCTGATACACAAGAAGGAACTTTTTAAGTGTTGCAAAAGTTCCTCGTAGGACTTTGAAGCCATTTCTGTGATTTTTTCTTGATTGATCTTCTTCCCTGTACCTCTGTATATGTGAGTCATTTACTCCTGCCACTCTGTGCCATAAATAACCGAGGGTCCCATGTTCCCACAGCTCCTCAGTGGATGTTTTACATCAAAGCTATATGGCCCAGCTATATCCAAACAGAGGACTTCAAAGCCAGGAGAAGTGCTGCCATCAAAAAGTGAGTGCCACCTACTGAAGAAGGTTTACAAAATACAGGATGTCTGCACACAGGCAAGAGTGAAACACAAATGCTCTCTCAAGATTACAGACAATTTTCTCAAACCTTTAGTAACAGAGAACAGAATCCCACATCCTTTAAGCTTTGGTAACACTTTACAATAACCATAACCTATAAATGGTAAAAAGACAATTTATAAATGGTAAGAAGATAGTTTATTAATGTTTAATCATCATTTATAAATAGCATACATACCATTAATAAATTGTAAATTTTACACTTTTAAAAACGTAACCCTAACCCAGAGCCGGCCCCAAGGCATAAGCGAACTAAGCCTCTGCTTAGGGCCCCACAACCAGTAGGGGGCCCCCAAGAGCAATCAAAATATATATAAATATATATTATTTTTTGCATGTATCAGTGATGCCTTCTGTATGATCCAATATATATTATTGTAAACATAAAATTAAGTAGGCCTATGATTCTTACTGTCGATACGGTCTATATGCTGTTTTTTAAATGATGATTTAACATTAATAAACTATCTATTTACCGTTTATAAATTCTGTTTATTGTAAAGTGTTACCAAAGTCTGAATGTGCTGGTTTTACTTGTTTGGATTACACGACAGAGTACAAGTTCATCTAATGATAATACAGAGATGAAAGCATGACTCAATGGAGCCCTACTCTAGGTGGTTTAAGGAAGCACACACTGCTCCTCTTTGAGTGGATTAAATTGACTCTCTTGTTGTATACGTGAAATCAGATCAAGATAAAAGAAAACACAAAGCTGTGCAGATTTGTCCTGCTAACAGTGCGGGGATTCCTCCTCTATTTTCCCGCCACCTCTCAACTCTTTTCTGCCTTGCTGTTAAGTCTCTCCAGAGAGTTTTGCAGCAGTATTAAGATACATGCTGAACTGAGAGAATGCAGCAGTGGAATTAGCTCAGCAGACTGCTCCTGCCTGCCTAAAGAGTTATTACATCTTTAATCAGACACAGCTCACATTAGTATCTTGATTTTGGGAGCAGGAGAAAGAAGGATCGGATCACTGACTGATATAACAATTCCAGGAAACAGAGTGGAGTCTGGGAGGTGGAGCGTAGATGTAGACATATGGGGTTGATGTAATGAAAAGCAGAGCTTTCTCACTGCGGAGCTGTGTGACCCCTCAAACCCTGAAACCCTGCCTCCCCGTTTCTGGCAAATTTCCCACCAAAACCACACACAAACACTCACACACATACACAATATCCTCCCACCCACTAGCCCCAGCATTCTCGCTGACTATTTGAACTTTTCAGTAAGGGCACTCTATCTTGAAAGGATTGACCAAGTGTCAGGCGTTATTAGTTCACGTTTCATTCATACAGATTGATGCTGAGAGTATCGATGTCTACGGATAAAAGCACACCATTGTCTTCTCACTAAGAAAAAACTCTAAATGAAGATAAGTATTTACAGTCTGGAGGATTAACCAATGGAAAATTATGGTAGAAACTAAAGATGTGCCATCTTAGCTGAAAGAAGAATAAGACATTATGAAACATGATGATCTATTAGGACGAGAAGAAAGCCTGCTAGATAACTTATCTGACTAGTTCTCCAAAAATCCCACCATTACGAGTCTATGGACTGTCTAGAAATCCTCCGCTTTTTCCTTTAACTGTGCAGGTACACTCTCTCAAGATGTAAACACATAAATTGGTCGATGACTTTAAGCTGTGCTGTAGTCAGCACTTTTTTAATGTTTGCTCACAATAAATCGAGATATTCTTGTCCAGAAATGCTCCTTTTTTAGCACATGTATGGATGTTTTTTTATACAAGGTTTTTTTTCCCATATGCTTGTATTTTTGCAGTCACTAGGAGTACGGTGTATGCCATTGTCTTTTCCTAAACATTGCCAGCTTGATCTGTGGCCTGAACCATACCAAGCTGCAACAATGTCATAATGTTCACCATGTGTTGCAGACATTGTGCAACACTCACACAAAGCTCGTTTGGTCATGGTTTGTCCGACAATGACACACTGAAGCTGTGATTGGTTGCAAAGGAGACCTGAACTGTCGTAAAAACCATTAAGTTACTTCATACAGCCACCTGAAGAAAGTCCAACATGGACTCAGTGGTTCTTGGATATTGGTACAAACAAGGCAAACCATGAGTTACTATATTCAGAATCATAGTCTATGGGAGTGTTACTCCAGAGATCCTTGTCTGTCATTACCCACGATGTGACTCCACTGCAGTCCTGTAATTCTACATATCTGTAAATCTTTCTACAATAAGCTGTAGACTGTTTGTTCTTTGAAATATTGATGGTATAATCTATATCCTAAGTACTGGAGAGGTCACTGAGGTCTCAATCTGTGGCTGACAACTATTAATTATTGCATTATCACAAAGGTGGGTGTATATTACATATAAATGGTAAATCTAAAAGTCTAAGACTATTCATCAGTGGAAAGCAGAATGCTTAAAAGATTAATGATGTATCTTAAAATGACTCTGAACTAAATGTATATCAAAAATAAACTCCATCATTGGATATACTGCAAAGATTTATCATTACTCTTCAGAACTCTAAAGCTTAGAGGCTTTTGAAATTCATACTAAAACATGAAATGAACTACCCTTGGGCCAGACTACTAAACTTTAAATTCCAAGCATGGTTCCAAAAGTGATGGTTTCTTCCACACCTGTAATGCTGTTTGATGGATTTTTTTTACTATCCCTCACGATTGAAAGCAAACCCCGAAAGTCTAGACACCATCATCATAGATTCAGTATTTTTTTCTCCAAACTGAGCTTAAACAACCACAGTAACATTGCAGTGATTTCTGTTGAGTTATTTCTCAAACATGACAAAACATCCTTATAACCTCTAGAAAATGTTATAAAACTGTTTTCAAAGTGAAGAATTTAGTTTTTCAAACTTTAAGTTAAATTCCCTTCTTTTCAGCTCATACAAATAAAGACAACAGGATGACTAACAGGCTGACTAACTTTTAAGCATTTTATTATTTCCATGACTAATTGTCCCCTATGAATATTTTATGGTGTTGTTCAGTCACTGGACCAAACCAGACATCCACTGATGAAGTGTTGGTTCACTGGCTATTAAAATATCTATCCAGTTACATCAAATTAAATTGACAGATACTGTTTCTCTGTAACCTGCAGAGATTTCTATTCAAGCTGCCTGTACCCTTAGGTACCACAGATGTCACCCACATGCTGCAGAACTAGAATAATACCTGCTACAACCTGCTTTCACTCTCTTTTTGTTATGTGGGATAATGCAGAAAGAGTGAAAACTCCGCAGGCAAAAATCATCTTTAGGATGTATTGGGACCAGAAATCACAGCTAACATTCAGAGCAACAGATGTACATTTGATCATGATTCATCAGTTGGGGTAAAAAATAAAACAACTTTGTCTCACATCTTCTTCACCAACACTGTTACCATGGTAACCGGTACTTGTGCTGTCTCTTGTCTGAGGCTGAATTATTGGAGAAGAGTGTACGTTTGCCAGATAGCGTCCACTTTTACAAACAAGAGGGTGTTATCTGCACAACGGATTTATAAGAAACAGAAGCTAGGCACTTGAAGGAAACACAAAAAGAGAATTTATCCAGCAGGAAAGTACAACTTTGGTTATTTTCTTTTTTACTGATTGTTATTCTGTGTCAGAGCACAAGTTAAAGGGCCAATGTATCCCCTCATTAGCCAAAGCTATTCTGCATTAATGACCTACAGGATTGAAAATTGTTTCTCCCTCAACTCTAGACGTCTTTGAAATATTGATCACCACCTCCTATAGAGTTTTGCCAGCCTGTCCCCTTGTAAGCATTCATGAAAAGTATACTCTTGTTTTTTTTTTTTCTATCATCAACTTTTGGCTTTGAATGCAACTTAACCTTCCTTTTCCCTGTCCAAAAATTAAAAAATGTTAATAGTTGTGAATAATTTCAACACTAATTGTCCCAGCACTGTCCCAACACACATTATCTGCCCTCAAACAGCTGAATGTCATTATGACTCACAAAGCCTTTTGACTAAATTTGAAACTCATTCGAAGTATACACAGACTTTTCTTGAGTAATCTCTGTGATTCTCCAGCGATCATGACATGCATAAATGAATTAATATGAAACTATTCCCTCTGTAGAGACACAATTTCTTCCCCCACAGAAATAAATAACATTACAAACAAACAATCAACAATTATGAGGCACATACCCATGACCACAAACATCATTAGCTGCACATTTCCTATTATATTGCATGTGTTTGGTGTGATAATCAACATAGACAAGTAAAAAAGAAACGATGATAAAAAAGTTGTGACATGACATCTACAGCCTAAAGAAACAGAAATCAAAAGTTCTGATTGGTCTTGGCATATATAAGTGCCCTCAATATCCAGCTCTTGAATGAAACAGTTTCGCCTCCTGTTATCCCAAAAATAAAGTATTTAGTGTCGGTGAGAATTGTAGTTAAAGGCATATTCTGGCATAAAATTAATTTAGGGTCAAACACACTGTAACACCGAGTTAGAAACCCCATCGTGAGATGAATGTTGCCAACCACTTGCTTCTCTGGTTAAACCAACTTTAGTAACGACCGGATGATAGCAATACAGAGAGCCATGCACTCAACCAAACAGCCACTCTATAACCACAAATAATGCTCAGAACAGCACCTAACTTCATCAACAGTACATATAGGGTCCTAGTCATAGTACTAGCCACCAAACATCTTTTTAGCTTTGCCTAATTTCTTTAGCAAAGAGACTAAACACAACTCACCATCTCTCTTCCAGCAGCCGCTTTTTTGTAAGGTGACCTCCGGGTGAGTCCATCACAACTGCAGCGGAGGAATGCACTTTAGGGAAGAACATTTATGATCATTACTTCATGGAAATGCAATCAGACAGAGATGCTAAAGCAGAAGAACTACTGCGTCTGCAGTGCAAAATGATAACTTTATCATTTCCTTGAAGTAATAATCACCATATCTATTATTTTGCACTGCAGACTGTAGTTCTTCTGCCTTAGCGTCTCTGTCTGATTGCATTACCATGAAGTAATGATCCTAAATGTTCTTCCCTGAACTGCATCCCCCCGCTGCAGTCGATGAACTTGCCCGGAGGTCTTCGTACAAACAAGCGGCTGCTGGAAGAGAGATGGTGAGTTGTGTTTAGTCTCTTTGCGAAAGAAATCAAGCAAAGTTAAAAAGATGTTTGGTGGCTAGTGCTGTGGGTAGGAGCCTATATGTATGTGTTGATGAAGTTAGGTGCTGTTCTGAGCATTATTTGTGGCTATAGAGTGGCTTTTTGGTTGAGTGCGTGTCTCTCTGTATTGCTATTGTGCGGTCGTTACTAAAGTTGGTATAACTAGAGAAGCAAGCAGTCGACAACATTCATCTCTCGACGGGTAGTACAAGGTCTCGAGTAGTACAAGAGCTAGCAGCAATGTAGGAATATAGTATTATTCACTTCTGATATGCATGTTTGTATGTACATTTTTAGGGATTCTCAGTACCGAGTCCAGGTATCTGAACTCGCACTGAAAAGGAAAAAGTAGTAACTTCTGTCATTTTCAACAGAGTTAAAGATAACTGCAGGAATGTAGCTGCATTTCCTTGACATGGAGCAAGAGCTTCCCTGCTGTGGTTTTCCAGGAGTACTGTATCTTAAAACACACATTTGTATGAAGCCAGTTTTGCACACAAAGGCTTACAAAATCAACCTGCTGGAGAAAAGGTTGAAGAGAGGAGCAGAGAACTAGCGACAGAGTTTTTATTTCTGCTTCAAAACAATGCCATTGTTTTGATAACTTCACACAGAATATATCACTCAGCGACTTGCTAAATTTGGTCCTGTTACCCTCCCACAGCGGGGTGGGTGGCAACAACAGAGCACACTTTGAACCTGGGACAATTTACATTGTTACAGTTGGATCAGTGCCTTCGCAGCATTTGGGTGTTGAACGGCTTTGACACACACACACACAACACTGGCTTACACACACTGCAGTGGAGTGGAAAGAAATTTGTTTACCTAAGTGGAGTAGCTGAATGTAGTCCTCAGTGTGGTTGTTTTTGGATGGCCTCCATGTTGGAGATCTAGTGGTTAGTATGTGGTTCTCTCTAACTCAGGGCTGCGGTGGCGGTCTGGCTAACCGATCCCATGTATGTTGTCACGTTGTAACCGACACTTTTGTAAAATGAGGTGGTGATTTTTAATTTAGTACTGCTGTAAACCGCTGACTGCCATGTAAGAACTCGTACATGCAGAGCTGACTGAAAACTATCCAAACTTACTGTTGTAAAAGATTTCCATTTATTATTAAGTTCATCAGGCGAGAAACTGATGAAATTGTAAAAACTTTTACAGCGTTAAATTCACCCATTGAAAACCAAATTAAAATCTACACTGGAACAGAAACGATTCACAGCATGGGTAAAAAGGTTCGGGTCAAGACCTGCTTTTTCAGTTTTATGGCTGTCTATAACTCACATCAGCAGGCGCACATATTATGAAATCCTGTGCTTCCCCAGCCTCACATCTAAAGTCAACAAATGCTTGCTCAGGGTAATGTTTCTAAGGGGGAACATTAATTGAAAGCAGCTGTTTTTAGCTCTTGCAGCTGGAGCTGAGAGTGCAGCTGTAGACTGTCTAGCTTAGCAATGAAGAGCTACTAGAAAACACAATAATAAGATGCAATAACACCTTCTGGCAGTATAATATTTTCCAAAAGCATGTCGATTTTGTCTTGATATTTTAAGGAGATCCTTTCATGAGAAATAGAAATTGTGCTGTAAGGGCTGTCTCTCTTCTAAGCCACAAAGTGCCATTTATCTTTTTCATTGTGTTATAAATAAACTCCCAGAGCTCCTAAGCCCACAGATCACAAAAAAATTGCACCATCTTACATGACTAATTTGCTTTTATGTACGCCTCAGCAAAAGTCAGCTGCAAGGTAAAAAGGTAAAAAAAAAAAAAAAAGATGAAACTTACAGCGTCGGTCGCTTTTTAAACTTATCTTGCAGAAGAATTCTCCCAGTTTTACTTCAGACTCCCACAGCTCCACCAGTTGCTAGCTGTTTACATTATCGCTTTGAAGAGGGTCATCTGGTTTCCCAGAAGAGAGGGAGCTGCTGCTTTGCCTCTGATCTCCTGAACTCCCCCGGCTCCTCTGTGACAGCGGCTGCCTATTCTCACAGGAAGGCAAGGAAACTTGTCAGAGGAGGTTCTGGAGTCCGAGCTTTCAGACAGGACTGGACTGGACTGGAAAAAATGGGAGGGACAATCATCCACCCACAACATTTGTGTAAATACACTTTTGCATCCTTCCCTGCTTTCATCCTGGCCAATATCTTTAAATCACATTTGATTCAAAGTAGATCTTTTAAAGCTAATACTAGACGTTTTATTAAGCCAAAAACAACTCGCAAATCTGTATCGAGCCATAAAAAGAGGAACACTGCAGCAGACTCCTGCCAAGCATATTTTTCCTCTGCATATTGAGCCTGCTTCATGTTCTAAATTTTACTGTCGAGGACATTGCACACAGTGAATGCTTGCCCGCTATCACCTCCTCCCACATACTCACTCTTACAGTGAGCGAGTAGGATGTGCTGCTCTCCCTCTATAAAGCACCACCTGAACACACCAGACTTCTATAGGGTGCAAGCTTTTAGTGCAAAGAAGGTATATGTACTTGTAATTACATGCTATAGAAAGCAAGTCACCATCTCGTCTGACTTGAGCAGTGATTGCACAACCGTGACAAGTGATGGTACAGTGAAGTTGGAGACAGCAAAGCCTGTGTGCGTGGGTGAGTCAGGGTGAAGCATTGGAGAAACACTAGGATTGTGAAAAATGTTGCCCTCTTGTGTGGATTGAAGCTCATTTTGTGCCAAATACTCCCTGCTGTGATGTTTTTTGATAAGATATCTTTAATATTTATGATCTCGGTGAACATAGATATGATCAGTCTAATGAAAATCCATACATTCAGGAAGAGAGGCTAACAGGAAACTTTCCACTGGTGGTTTTATTTTTGTTGGCAGCATCTGGTGAGTTAAATTTAGACATTTTTTTTTTCTATTTTCCCACCCACATCGCTGTTGTTTTCTTTGCACAGGCTGATAAAACACTCATTTCCTGAGCTCTCCGCAATCACCGAACCACACCCACAGGACGGCCTCTGTCAAAGAGCATCACCCAGCGAGGTTAAAGGTCACGGCTAGATGAAGACAAGTTATTAAAATAAACATCCACACGGCGAGGCTCAGACACTTCCTCAATACTGGCATAACTGTGAGCATAACTCTGAGCAGTTATTGCACTTTCAGAAATACCCACGCACACACGCGCAGATACTCGCAGAGAGAGAAAGGGCAAGAAGGAGGAGTGAGAAAGTTTCTAAAATGATGCCACATCTTGTAAAACTTGTCAAACTATCTTCCTGAACTACACTGCCATCTAGTGAGGACTCTGCAGATGGAATGACAGTAAAACATGCCACCTCTCCTCCCGTGTCTCCTCCTGTCAACAACAGTCTCGTGCCCTCTCCTTCATTTCGCTCTTGGACAGGCAGAACCAGCTGTCTGGAAAATCAAGAAAATAAGAAGCTGGAGGTGACGGAGGCAGGGAACAACAACTCTGTAGCTGGTAGCTCCAAGCTGTGAGAGTTCATGATTTAGCATTTGGCCAGAAACGCTTAAATTTTGTTACATTTGAGGATGTCAGTGAAATAATTTTCAGTCTTTGAGTTATTTAAGAGGGCGGATTTTTGTAAAGCCAGTTTAATTCGTTGTGTGTGAAAAATAAGGCATAAAAATAGCAAACAATTGCTTGAAGGCGTGCACTTAAATATGCTATTAATTTTATAGATTCTCACACGTGGTTATTTGAATTCACACAGAAAATGATAAGGAGATATTCAACTGTATTCCTGAGAAAATGTTCAGCCACTTTTCTCATCTCAGGAAACTCTCAAGAACACTTTACCTAAAGAGTATTTCAAGCATAAACACGGCTTCAATCTACGAGGGATCAACTCCAGGTCACATCCAAAACTGGTGACATGATCACAAAAATTGGCTGCAACAAAACAACACGCTGCCCCATAAGGGAAACGTGAGGTACGCTGATGGGAACAGATATGACAAAAATAACTCCATTCTATCTAACGTTGACTGTTATATAAGCGCCAGAAATGACCTTAAAACACAGAAGGAAGACTAATGATCAGTGATGAGCCCAACTTTCCAAGAAGTTGTCAAATTGGGCTGTTTTAATTTCTGGGTTCATAACTGGGTCTGTTACTTGTATTTGAATCCTTTAAAGCGTCATATAAGATATGACATTGTTGTCATGCATTAAGCTGGTATATAGGTGTTTCAGTGACGTATTCTAGCAGTGAGGAGAAGACATAATGTGACAGACCTGAGTAGGCTACGAAACTAAAGAGGAGTCAAAATAAAAAAGCGCAAGTCAAGAGATTTTTTAAGTTGAAATTTTTACTGAGGGAGGCATTTGTACTTCTGACAGTGACTTGTCAGAAGCACTGGCATCAAACCTATGCATCACTTCAAAACATGTAACCTATCACACAGCCCTTTGAAAGTCGGATACGTGTAGCGCATCACCTTAATCTAGCGGTGGAAGGATGATGGTGATCCACTGGTAATGGCAGGCGGAGTGTGGGACAAATGAGCTGCCTCTTGTCAAGTAGAGACATCGGAGTACAGAGTTGGGCTGCTCTCTTTCTCAGCCGCCTTTAGTGTTGGCAACTGTGCGAGCTCACAGCACCACTGTTTGGCTGCTGCTTTGACTTATCACAGGGCCCAACAGTTGGTAAATAAATCAAAGCTTCTCCCTCGAGACTAAAGAGCTACGGCCTTTGTGTTCGAGAGCCTTTGCAGCCCGCTGTTCTTGTGTCGCACTCTTGTCATTCACACGAGCTCGACAAAGACATTTGCTTTGGTCATTTACACCACCAGCCCGTTCCGCAGAAACACACAGTTCAGAATGAAAATGTTAATCAGACTCCCATCAATGAATGGCTGGACAGCTCTTGGCTCCACTAACCAGGGCTCAGTGCCTACCCCAGCTCTCCCCAAAGCGAGGGAGGAATAGCTCTGATCTTAAAGGGAAAAGCCCTGACTGTGGTTCCACTTCATGTTGGAAGAGGAGCAGGGGTTGCTGTCAGACCAAATTCCCGAGTACTTGAACAGTCTGTCCCCGGCACAAAGCAATTAACTGTTGTTGTGGTTGGGATGAAGCCAGCTGGGATGCCATGCTTCCTTAATTATAAATAAATTTAGTTCTTTATATAGATTTAGATATTATCAAAAGTGATGCCTCAATTTTAACTCCTTTTTTTCTATTTTGATCGACTCTTGCTGTGATGTTTTGCCTATCGAATGTATTAATGTAGGTTCCCTTCCATAATGGGATTCATTACCTGTGTGCTTCAGGTAATTTGTTTGATAAGAGACAGCGCTGTGGCAGGAATATTTGAAAGGATGAGGACTCACACCTTAAATGACTCAAGATAGCCTAATGGCTGTTGCAGATATAGGGTAATTTCCCCTTGCAGCTGCCCACTTGATGCAAAAAAAGCTGCTTTTTAAAGACAGTTATTCTTCTGTCATCCTAAATTGTACCAGTAAACTCAATCACAGTCACTCCGGGGATACTTTCTAGACTCGGGACTCTTTCCTTAACCATTGTTGAATACCTACAAACTGCACAACAGTTTTCCAAAACCAGTAGCGTGAGCTGCCACAATATCTCCTTAGGTGACTCCAAACCTTAATTACTGCAGAAACAGAGGCGTACATGAGTATCTGAGACACTGTCTCGCCGAGAGCTACGCTGCCTCACAATCCCTGTAAGGCAATTACAGCTCCTGCAAGGAATCAAGAGGCGGTGGTTGAGAAAAGGAAGCAAATTCATTAAAACAGAAAGCAGTAAAACCATATCTCCTTCTGTGATCATGATTTTTTCTTGTCCTGCAGTTCTCTACACCGAGCTGAGGCTCAAACTTTCAAGGCAGCAGGCTGGTTTGTTAGTTAAAGGAGGGAACATTGGAGACTAAAAAGCTTACTAACAACAACACCCAGATACATTATTTCTTTTGTTTATTTATATGTTAAAGTACAAGTAGAATCAGATGATTGTATCCTGTGGATGGACTGGGAGTTTTTTATTTTTTTTTAGTTTTCTCTTTTCTTTAATTTTATTAGTAAAGACATTTCTTTTTACAGAACATATTTTTCTATGAGTTTTTAATTCTTGTCTCTCAAACTGTGTTGCACTCAGCAACATGTCCAGCCTTTTTTTGACAGAAGTGGCCCAACAGGGACACTGACTGATGCGTGGGTGGGATCATATTCACGTGCACACATGCTGGCACAAATAAAAAACATCAATTCTTTCTATGTATAAGATATTAAAAAGATGTCATTTTGTTATTACCATAAACTGTATATACTATGGACAACTTGGTTCAGCCTTCTGCCAGTATACGGATTTGGAGACGAAAAGCGTTCAGTATTTCCGCGATTTGTCTTCATTTCCTGAAACCAACATTGCGCAGTAGCATTGTACATATTCGGCGGGAGAGTTGAACCCCCTTGTAACTTTTAAAAGCGGAGCTGTACAGAAAAAAGAGGACTTGAGCACAAACCAGTCTTACAATAACTACATGTCAACACCGCAAGCAAGGGGGAGAAAAAAAATGTTCTGTCCACAACTCCATAAGGATGGCTGGAGGAGGCGGGATTTATGACCTATACTGCAGCCCGTCACTAAAGTGTGCTGTTCTCGGAGTGGCTTCACCCAGCAATGAGGCAGAAGCGTCCATTCTATATACAGTCTATGGGTTTTTATTCTTGTCTCTCAAACTATGGGTTGCACTCAGTAACATGTCCAGCCTTTTTTTGATAAAAGTGGCCCAACAGGGACACTGACTGATGCGTAGGTGGGATCATATTCGTGTGCACACATGCTGGCACAAATAAAGACCATTCATTCTTTCTACGTATAAAATATTATAAAGATGTCATTTTGTTATTACCTGGCTTTCTTGCTGATTGCCTGGCTGTATAAAGTACTTGGTCCTGATTGGTCAGAACCGCAAAAACAGCTCTTATTTCTACATAGTAAGAGCCATGTCTGAGTTACAATATCACCCACATCATATCGAATCAACCCATGAATACAACAGTCATATGGGATTTTAGGTTGGCTTTATCACCCCTGGCCATGCC